TAACACGACATTCAAGGTGATCCCATAAGTGCTCAAGTAGGGACTAAGTGCTAAACCTTTGCTTGCATCTTCTCAATTTCATAGTTTTCTAAAAATTTCATGGCGATCCTGGCAACATGAGCACGGGCTCCATCTTGCATTAAGATAAAACTCACACAACTGGTTTCAGCTGCAGCTGCTAGAAGAGCAATATTAGGTCTTCAAGCCTCATTTATGTAACACTGAGCTGTCAGAAAATCTTTCTATAAAATTATTATATCATTTTATCCTTCCATGGAAATCCTCCTCCAGACCATCACCCAACAACTGCCAAAAGGACACCTAATTTTCATGGTTGCACTTTTATAGCATTTGTTACAACTCCTCCATACTCGACCAAGTATATCATTTGAGTGTAAATTAAATTTTGACTCTTTTGAAAATAAGAATGACCTGTTTCATGTTCACTGTCTCGTATACCAAAGTAAGTGTTCTCTTTTGAATAATTTTTTTGCAATTTCATGACACCTAGTTAAAGGTGTAACTTTTTTAGAAACTCCTGAAATCGACTACACCTTCCATAGTCTATTTCTCACCATCTGATCCAAAACAAATACTCCAATAATTAAGTGTTAATTTGTTAAGAACGTTGAGAGCAGTTGAAAATCAGTTAAGCAAGGCCTGGAGTCTTAAAAATGTGTCTTCTCTTGCATTTGTTACCCTTCCACAACTAAAACCTTGTCCAGGATGTCCAGTGAGGCATTCAGTCAATTAACCTGTGAAACTTCCATATAGATTCCAATGTGACGCTGAATGTCCTTTCTCCAGCCGAGTGACAGCTCTAGACAATTGAACTTCAATTAGATGCCTTCGTTGAACTTATTAATGGAAAAAATAAAAATTGATTGATAATCATGATTTGAATGAATAAACAGAACTGAATCTTTTTCAGGGTTACAAATTTTTTAGTTTAGAAATGAGTATTACTAAGAATATCTCCACATAAATAAACAGTCTAAATTAATAGCCAATACCTATTTATGCTTAGTTTGCCAACATCAACATTAAAATCAGTTAACAATCAAATTAGAAATTAAAAACAATATGACTAATTTTTTTGAGGAGTGTATAACTAATAATAATAATAAAAGGCTTAGCAAAACCGGAGGTTCAATGCAGACACCACCAATTGCTTATTACACACCATCCTCCACCATTCGCTGTCCAAACCAAGTCCCTTCAGAACGGCTTTAACGCAATCTTCCCATCTTCGGTTGGTCTACCTCTCAAACGTTTACCATTCGGTACAGCAAATATCAACCTTTAAGGAATTCTTTCGTTACTAAGCCAAACAATTTTACAAGTCCATTTGATTCGCCTCGATGCCTCAATAATATTAACTGGATACAGTTCCCGCAACTCTGCGTGGTGAAACCTTCACAACTCTCCGATTAACTCATCTTTCTTCGGTCCAAATATTCTACGCAATACTTTATTTTTAGAAACCGTAAGGCGTTGCTCATCCTTTAATATAAGCGGCCACGTTTCGCATCCATAAAGAACTATAAGTATGATAATGGTTTCATAGATTCTAGTCTTTAAATTCCGGGGCAAGATGCGCGAGCTAAGTAGTTTTATTATTTATATAACTTATATTATAGTTTATAGAGTATAAATACAAATTTAAAATAAAAACATTAAAATTAACAATAATTTAAGAAATAAACATAACAGCCGGTTTGACTGAAATCACTCATGACAATGAGTAGTGCTACATAAAGAAACCAGTTCCATAAAAAGTAAAAAAATCTGGTGCACGCAACACACAACTTTAACTTATCACTCTACTTTGAACGGAAATTATTTCCTGTACTACCAAAATAACAAAAATCCTATTTATTATATCACCGGTTTATTATGGATAGTACGACTATTAGTTAATAAACTGTTATTTTCCACTGCAATGTTTACTAAAGTGGAATTAAGAGATCTGCATTGCCTTTCTTAGATAGGTCAAAAGTTGTCACATTAATGTCAAAATAAGGGATACTGTTGGGATATCACTGAGGGAAAATTATTTACAACTTTAATCTTATTAAAGTTTACATGATGACTTCTCGCAATAAACGTACCTAATTATATAAATATAATATTAGATCTAATCAGTTAATAAACTATAGAAAATTTATTTAAGGTTATTCACATATCCAAGAAATATTTTTATATTTCACTTCTTCTTTCACACAAGTACAATGAAATAGTATTTTAAACAATGCCATTGCCTTGATTTGGTGGATTTTTAAATACTTTTTTACAACAACCTTTTTTTTTAAAAGTTGACATTTAGCAAGAAAATTTCATTTAATTGCCTTGGAATCATGTGATTTACGTTAAACAATGTTAGTGTTCACAAATATTATTCATATTTTTTTCGATAGTCTCCGTTACCTTCTACAATTTTATTTATTAGACATTTTTTCTAAAATTTTCCGTTTTCCAGCGATATATTATACCTTCTGACTATTATTTCCGGAGATTCATTTTGGACCTGCATAAGCATTTTTCTTTTTTTCAACTATCAAATGTTATATTAAGTCTTTTTTCATGACTAACAATGAGAGATAATTAATTATTTAAAATAATCCAAATTAAAAGTACTTTGGAGGAAGACATTTTGATTATTGGGCATTTAAGCACTGTTAAAAGACATTAATAGGGATAAGCCTTAAATGGTATTAAAGATTACTTAATTATGCATTAATACACCAAGTTAAATTAAAATCGCCAAGAGCCGTTTTCAAGAAAATCATAAAAATGTGTAAAATTGATAATGTAATGTAAAGTTGCACTTCCGGTAATACAATTTTCACCAAAAAGTTGCTCTCACATCTGAGGCATATACAACCCTTAAATTCACAATTTCTGTTTCGTACGACTTTTCGTTTTTGAGCTAGGCTGTTCACACACACACACACACACACACACACAAAGACCATTTTGAGGAACTTGGTTATTTCGAGGACCTCAAAACATCATATTTCTGGTGAAAACTAGGAATTGAAAATTTTCACGATTACAATACTTTCTCTTACAATATATTACGTATATAAGTGAAAGTAAAAAGAGATGAAAATGGCAGAAATTGGTGAAATTCAATAAGACAAAATAATAAATTTATGGTTCTTGAACTTATTTTAAGTAGATTTAAAAAAACATTTAATTTAAGAAATTCAACCACAGCTCATTGAACAAGATTCAGTTTAAACCCGTAGGAAAGTGATAAAATTCAATATCTTCAAGAATACAGCTTATTAGATTTAAAATGTGCATAGATTAGGAAAGAAAGACTCATTGGTTATTTACCTTTAATAGCATAAAAATGTATTAATAATTTAAGGACATGTCATTTCCAATGAACTACCATAGAAATGTAATGCTTGTCACTTATATAAATTTAATAAAAGAAAAAGAAGGTGTATGAAACCAGTCAATGAAGAAAAACAAACTAATAACTGGCACTTATCTTTTCATATTTTCCATTATATTAAAATTATAAGCAAAGAGACACCAATAAGATTTTATTTTTTCACATCTCTAATACCAAGGTCTAGAGTCTGCATTACAGTTAAACTGTTTTAAATCTGAATAAGTAGCTGAAATATTTAAAAAATAAAATTTTATTGGCCAATATTAGATTATAATTTAATTGCTACAAACTTTTTTATTGTTGTGTGCCAACATTTTGATCTGAATTGCAAATGCTACACCATGTGATATTAAACGACAATGATGAGTGACAAACTTATTAATGGCCCTCCCACCAACTTCATAAATTATATCTGTTTGTCCAAATCGACACCATCATAAAAATTGAACGTGTTTAATTACACTACACAATTTTAAGTAAGTATAAAAAAATTGATTCTTTTTAAACATAATTAAAACAAGTGAATCCCCATTATATTAGATATTTGTAAATCTATGACAAACATTTTTCTTATTATCATAATCAAAATTATCTGAAATATCACACACACTTGCATAACTTAAGTTACACTTTAATGTAACTGCAAACCAAGAATTTAAAAATACTTTTAAAATAATATATTTCATTTAATCAATATTTTTAATTGATAAAGATAAGAGAATAAAAATTATTTAAGTATAGATTTTTGGAAATACAACTTAATATTGGGAGAGATTGTAGTGTGTAAGTACAAGAACATCTGAAACTTAAAAATCACAACACTAATCTGGAAGAACACAAGCACAACATTTAACTAAAAATGTTTTCCACTTTTAAATAATCCAAGTCATCTTGCTGCCTACCATTAAGCAAAAGTTTAGTTTAGCCAGCTTTCTTCAAAAGTAGTGATATATATGTATCAACATACAAAAGAATTCACTTACAAAGATACTAATCTATTAAAAGTAACATTTTGAGTTGTGCCAGTCTTCATTGAAACTAGGGATGTTTCATTATAACATATGATTTAATTAGTGATTTTTTTTTAGTGAATTGCTTTCAAGTAATGATAAAAGAAAATCAAGAAATAATATAAATTTCTTTTTAATCTGACAATAATTCTTATCCTAGTAATATTGGTACAAGTGATAGTACAATATGATTAACATTCCTAAAATTTAAACTAATAAAAATATATATTTTTTCAAAATATTAAGAAAGTACTATAAAAGCATATATACATCTTTATTTATTGGTTAAGAACTAATTATTGATTTTTTATCGATACTAAAATTTGTACTACATTAATGAAAGTTAGATCAACAGCAGAACTTAAAAAAAAAAAATTAAATTTAAACGAAGAAGGTACTTTCAATGGTGAAATGTATTATTCATAAAACCATCGATTCAGATTAAAATAACTAATACTCTCATGTATTTTATGAAATGATATATCATTGTGGAACTTAGCTAATATTGTTTTATCATTTTAAATAATAATCCAGATCCATTACTAAACAAAACCTTTAGTTTAACATTTAAATAAACTCTGAACCCATTAAACTATTAATACTTTTTATTTAATAAAAAGTTATAAAGTAGTCTATTATCAATAATTTATATACATAAGACCTTAAACAATTTATTTAACAAAATATATTCAACATAATCAATTCTCCGAGTAACAACTAAAACTTAATATAAATAAATAGTTCTATCACAAAAAAACAATCTAGAAAATTTAATATCAGAAAATATAAGCTAAGTTAAAACTTAAAATAAAATATAAAAAAAGTGACTATGCAAAAATTAGTTACTGAAAAAAAAAGATCAAATATAATCTTCATAAGTATCAAGTTAATTTAATCGATCCTCTCTTTTTTTTTTTTCCTTACAAAAAGGTGATTTAAAAACAAAAACACAGAAAAGCTAATACAGATAATTAAACCTAAACATTTAAAATAGTTAATTCAAGATAGATTTCTGATCTAAAGCAGCAAATTGCACCAGGGAATGGGTAGCGAGTTTAATTTTCTGCAACATCCAAAAGAAAACACTCAACAATTCACTTTACTAATGGCCGAGTCTTCTCATCCTCTTCACAAGTAGTTTCCTTATATCTTTTAACTTCTTCTAAGTAAACTGACCAGGCATCTTTAGGCCCCTCGTTTGTTTCTTCTACTTTCACCAATTTAGCTTTTTTCACTTTACCTGTAGGCAGAACACGACCTCCTCTTCTCTTACCAACAAATGGCGGGGGCTTGGCAATGACTGGTTTCTCCTCAGCCGGGGAGTCACCTTCCTTTTCTGCAGCAGATGAAGTCGAGGGGCCGGCATCTCTAGTCTCCTGCAACTTCTTGAACATCTCTAGGAAGCTGCCATCATTCCTGAACACGTTCTGCGGCCTCTCCTCAGACCCTCCTGACCTGTACACCATCTTGAGACCTAGACACAGAAACTGCTTCCCATAAGAAATCCCGTAAGTAATAATGCTGGCTAGAATCACAAATATTCGAGATTTGTAATTTACCCATTCCCCGGAATAATAGACTGCTCAACCCATTGAAATTATATACAACTTATTACACTACTGATAAGGGCGACGCAAAACAAAACAATTTTGTGAAGGCATCGTTTGGGGAGAGGAATAGATTAAACTATGTTTACAATATTTATCAATATAAAAAAATTAATGCTAAAAATATGTCATAAATACATAAAAATTACCTGTAATACCAAACCCAGGGTCCTAAAATGGTCGCTATTGGAATGAAATCAAGATGAAAAGTCACGGCCTACAAAATATATTTGTTGTCCTTTATACATATGTTAAAAGAAAAACAAAGTATTAAACATGTGTAATTATTTGGCATTAAACTGCGGAAAAAAAACAAAATGAAATAATAAAACAACAATTAAAATATTGATTTTATTAAAATAATCATTAACTTCATAACCTCAATTTTAATTTGTTTTGCTGATTAAAAGCATTTTTTAAAGCTTCCAATATTTCAAAATTCGAAATTAAAAATAATAAATAATTTGAAAAAGAACTTCAGGTATATCGAAAAATAAGTAAATAAAATAAAAATATAAAGATCTAACTAAAAACTATGAGCCTTGTATCTAATATGCTGACGTCATCTAAGTGAAGGAAACAAATCTACTTCCAAGTATTTACTTTTATATGCGTTACATAGAGTAGTTAATGGGGCTATGAATCTTTTATTTTGAAATTATCATTTATTTTAAAAAATGATTAGATACGAGTTCCATTTCGCTACTCCAAGATGATGGCCGATATCATGATCACTCACTCTAAACACTATAATGCTCCGTAATTTTTATGGAACATGCAAAGTGAGCCATTTAGAGGGAATCGTTTTTGTAGATCGATAGAAAAAAACTTTATTCTAGGACAAAGTCTCGTTAGAATCAGAAAATTGTATAAAAAGAAAAAAACTACTTTTGGCCTAAAAATTTAAAATTTTAAAAAAGTAAAGAAAACCTTAAGTGAACAAGCTATATACAAAACAAATCAAACTATGTAAAAAACACTTGAAACTATGAACAAAACACTTAGAACTATGAACAAAATACTTAAAATTATATATATTATTCATTATTCTTTACAGACTATCACAGAGCTCCACCAAGAGGCCAAAGAGAAATTGTAGATGAAAAGGAGAGCTGGAAGGGTTTCAAGGAGACGTAATTTTATTAATCTGACAGGAATGCCATCTGGGCCTATAGGATTGGTACGGAATTTCATGTTAGCTGTTTAATAATCTTTGGAGAAAATGTCGGAAATATAAAAGTTATTGTCATTAAATATACCTCTCAAGAGAAGCGGGAAGATGGTAGTAACAGATATAAAAAGCGAGTTTAGATCATTAGGTGATACTGAAAAAACTGGTATAAATATTTTTATCCAGTTCTGTCGTTTCACCTCACTATTCAGGAGTGCCCAAAAGGGGTTTTATGGCGCAACTTGCGTCATCAAAATTGTTGAGGGAGAAGGGCATAATTTAAAGGGTTTTTGAATTTTTGAGGGGAGCACATTTCAAAGGGGTTATGAATTTTCGGAATGAAAATTTTCAGAATAAGGCACAGGGATGAAACAGATCACAAAAAGTGTAATTGTATATGAGCTATGATTTTTATTCTACTTTCCCTTGCTTTGGTTTTAAGAAAACGAGCAATAAAATATTTTGTGAGTAGAGGAGGTAGATTCTTGTGCCATTGATCTTAGGGAAATGGGAACCCTTGGCACTATTCATCATTTAGTGTTTAGTTTATTTCTAAGTACCGTTCTACAAGAAACAATAGAAGGATTATACAGCTGGACATTTATTTAATTTCACCTTTTCTTATTCATAAATTGAAAACTAATATATCGACTACTGGCCATTGGGGGATTAACACTTGTGTTTCAAAGAAGTAAACTCTAGGAGCTTAAAACTAAGTTATGATTCCGTGTTACAATCGTTTTTATTTTATTTTTGTACAGCTACTTTAGATAATTCGGTTACATTATAATCTGAAAGTATTAAGGAATACATTTTTCACTTGCATTTGATTTTCTGAACACTTAGGTACTCCTAGAGCTGTTATACTTCAAGAAACAATGACATACACCTACCTGTCTTTCACTACCTATTTATCTACCTGGCATTTTCATAAAAATAGCCAGTCATAATTTCATAAATGGCCACGAAAGTAATCGCGATGATCACCGAAATGTAAATGAGGTGTAAACGAATCTTAAAGTAGAGCCGAACTGCGAGTGAGTAGCAAGGAGACTAGTGCCAGCCTTAGACATTTGGCTCCTCTGGATAATGACGTCATTTTCCCTCTCCCTACAAAAATTAAATCAATGTCTAAAGCTCTTCTATATTATGTGATATTTAAATTTTATTTCATTCAACATTTCTCTAATACAATTGCTTTATTGATAGGCTAAAATTAATTATTTCAACACATTTTTTATTTCTAACAACTGAAGAGCAACCCTGAATATCGGCCGGCTCTTTGGTGCAATTGTCCCACACTTATGCCGGCACTGAAGGAGACCGTCAATGTCTCTCTTAATGAACGGCCCACGTAAACGATTCCAAGAGGTCAAAGAAAGATGATACATCTGATAAAATTAGCGGATAGATTAAGATAATATGATCAAATAAGAGTCAGCGTCCCGGTACCCGGGAGGCTTTTAACTTTGGCATTAATCCTGGCCCTCTCTTCTGGTCCGAGAAAGCCGAAAAGCCAAAGAAGTGGAAGAAAAAAAAGGTTAGGGTAACATCTGCTATCTAGTAGTAAGGTTAGTCTCATAGAAAATCGTTTTGACAAAAGTTAGTAAATTGTAAGTCTACTACTTACAAAAATTAAGGAAAGGTATTGCGAAAATAATAAATTTGTTGAGGAAAATGGGAAAAGAACTGATAAATATACACAACGTTAAAGTTTTTTTTTTCCTAAAGTAAATTGTGAAGTTTCCTAATTTTTTTTTTGTTGCTCACTTGACTATTTAAAAGAAATAGCGTGTGCACACGCTTTAGCCCATTCGGCCACCCCGCCCCCTCACATTGGACCAACTGTTCTCACAGAGGCTGATGCTGCAGAAATACTAAGGGTATAGAACAGTTAGCCATCACCTCTTCGGTGATTTTAAAGCTGCTTATCATAGTGTAACTCGGCCGAGTTTCTATCAGACCCTGTTGTTAATAAACTTCCCAACTAAACTGATACGTCTCGTGTAAATGAAGATGTCGGGCTCGAATCGTGAAGTACGAGTAGGAAGTGACATCTGGGAAGACTTTCATACTAACTGCGGTGTAAGACGGGGATGCTATAGCCTGTCTTCTTTTCAACTTTGCTGCAGAGAAAGCACTGCGTATGCCCGGAATCCAACTCCATGCAGCCCTTTTCAACAGTACCATTCAACTTCTGGAGTACGCTGACAGCTTTGATATTGACGCCAGATCGGAACGTGCATTAAGAGAGTCATTCTTGGCCACAGAAGACGCAGCAAAGAAACTTGGACTACACACTAATGAAGCTAAGACCAAGTATACGAGAGTCGGAGGCAATGGGCCAGGGTCCGGCTCTTTTGTGGCTAGATCATATAATTTTGAAAAGGTAAGCAGCTTTGTCTACCTCGGGTCTGAGATCAAATCCGAAAACGACATCACTCAAGAAGTTAACAGGAGGATGGCAATGGTGAGACAGTGCTACTTTGGCCTTGCAAAGCATTTTACTCTCTAGCAGAGCCAAGATAACTCTCTACAAAACCTTGGTCGCCCTGGTTTTAACTTATGGATCAGGAGCATGGGCCTTTAAGAAGCAAAATGAAAATAGACTTCTGATCTTTGAGAGATCAATCTTGAGAAGGATTTATGGTCCTGTTAGAGAGGGTGGAATTTGGAGAAGTAGACATGGACTTGGTCAAGTTTATCAAGATAGGATGACTTCGATGGGCCGGACACCTATGGATGATTTGGCGATACCCAGCATACTGGGAGTCCGAAACTGGAGAACAACAGCTGATCCTATTGGCTAACGAAAGCTTTCTTGATGACCGGACGTAGCGCAATCTATGTATGTATGGTTTGTATCAAGACATTTTTTATCTGAGCAACTATAATCTCTGGGACTCTGGACAGATTTGTCATTGTCCTAGTGGTCCTACTGCACTGTGGAGGCCATAACAAAAAATAAAAATAAAATAAACATACAGAGGTACCGAAATAAAGTGGGGAAAAATTATAAATGATATTGATATATATATATAAACGTGACATGTCTAAAAACGGCAGTTCTGTTCTAAAATCAATAGAACTCTTTCATTACAGTGCAAATGTATAGAATTTGAAAATAGAAGTAGTTTAAAGGAAAACAACATATAAATTATAACAAATAAATTTGGAAAAATGTTATAAATAAATGGTTATTAATTTATTTGAAAAGTTCTTTTATCAGATAATTTATTCTAAAAGTGATTCAATATAATGGTAGAGTGAAAAATAATAAAATTTGGGATCCATTCTAGTTAAAAAAAAAAAAAGAGTATAATAAATTTTTCTTGATAAACAAGAAGAAGTGGAGGTTGAACAAAACTCACGAACCTTGTATCATTTAATATATCCACTCACTTAGCACACAATCAGAATTTAGTAAAATAAGAACAGAAAAGGAAATAGAAAGGATAATAATTTTGATTAAGATCCAAAATCTCAAATTTAAAATTAATAAGGCTGTTGTAAAACAGTTAACTGGCAATATAAATAATTTATACTGAAAATTGTTTATTTTTTTTTATAAATAATCAGCCACATACCATCATTTAATATCCCAAATGTAAACACTAATCATAATTTTTGACAAGAGCTACAATACTGAAAACAGAAATTGAATAAAATAAATTGATGAACATCAAATAAAATACTTGCAGGTAATTTAAAAGTAAATAATTAGGATTTATTTCATATTGTATTTATTTATTAAAAATATACCCATTAACCAAAACAAAAACTATTAATATGATGGATGGTGTTTGGGTGTAACACACAAGATGGAGTAAACTGAAAACGCAAAACAAACATACATAAATAAAAACAATAAATTATTCATAGCTTTAAACAAAAAAATATTAAAACTAAACTGTTGATATGCCAGTATTCTTCAGCTTGCAAATATATCAAAAAAAGTGTGTAACTGGCAAACTAAAAATTAAAAAATATATACGTATTTTTATTACATACTTTTTTTAATATTAGTTCATAAAATTAATCTTTTTTGCATTTCAAACAAGGTCTGAATTGATAACTCAAAGAAACAACATAAAGAAGTAAAGAATAACAATTGGTAATCACAAACAAATAAAATCATATATCAACAAGTTTAATGAAATAATTTTCTAGGTGAAATAAAACATCAAAAATAAATAATTTTAGTGATTTTTTATATCCATGAAATATACACTAACATGGAATTTAAATATAGATTTAGCTAAATATATATATAATTTCAATTGTACTTATTCTTAACATAATATCTATTAAAATACAAAATACAACCTTGTTTTTCACAAACATTCCCTTAATCAACAATCACTTAAAACTAGCAAAAAAGAAACACAGGGCATACATGTGTATTTTCAAGAGAAAAATTTTAATCTCTTGCATCACAATTATTAGTTTAAAACTTTCCTCTTAGTTCTTATTAACTATTTTATATTCAAATTCAACATCATTAATATCATTTATAAGTGTTATACTTAAAGTAAAATATAATAAGCCAATCATTTTTGTCCTTCAAGGTTCTGTTTTTGATATGATATACAAAATATAACATCACTGATTAAGATGAAAAACCCTGGACCACTACACTTTGGTTTACTATTTTTAAGAAAACTGAGATTTTAGTTGAAACACACAATTCCTATTCAAAATGTCTACTTTTCTTCCATAAATCATTTTTATAATTAAACTCTAACTCAGTAGGTTACTAAATATATCAATGCCTTTTCTCTGGGAGATGAGTGACACTTATTCACCCCAACCCATAATCATAATGATTTCTTGTAAAAAATAAGTTACGTGTTAATTTAACACGTTGAAATTCAAAACATCTTTTTTCATTACTCAAATAAAATTCCATAAAGCTTGAAGGTATTTTCTTATTTTAAAGTACAGCCCACGAGATGCAATAAATACTAATATACTCAAAATATTCAATTTAGACAGCAACAACCAATGAAGAGACAAGCCTAATTAATAGGCCAGTGGGAAAGATTCTTGAATCTACAAAATTCATTGGAAAACGAGTGCTGTTTCCAAAAATTAAGCTCCAACTGCCTGATTATCCTCTCACAAATTTCAGGCACTTATTTTTTTAGGACTGAGAAAAGACAGTTCTTGCTAAACAGTTCTCAGGTGAGAAAAAACCATTAACATATATTCAAGAAATAAGTGACCCAAACAATAGTTTAAATGATGTTCCTTCAGTATTGTTGGCCACCATTCTATCCACTATACTTTGCTCCCCTAATTGAGAATAGAGTTCTGAATATCAAACATTATTTTATTTAATTATGACAAGCTTACAAGTTTGAACAAAACAATAAATACAATAATCATTCAAAGGTAACAATTTCACATAAACAATGAACAATATCATTTTTAGAAAAAATGTTAAAGAACATTTTATTTATTAATATTTACTCATGTTTTCTTACTAACATGTATACATAACCCATTAAATATTTTCAATAAATCTGACACAAGCATTTAAAACATCCCAGCTTCATTTCAATTTCTAACCTACATTGATTGTTGAAGTTTCCAGATCAACACTAAGAAATTGAGTACTTAACCACAAGAAAAGCGAAAATTACACCTAAGATTGAATAACTAATAAAAATATGGTAGATTTATTTAAAAATGGATCATAACATCAATTAAAAATGTATTTTGAATTTGTTTAAAAATGGAATAGTTGGTCCCAGGAAAGATATTTTCAATTCTCTCAGCAATGTTACGAAAACACACCATACATATTTGTTCCAAATAATAATCCTACATTTAAAGAAAAATATCACTGAAGAAAGTGGCTACTGAAATAATATAATAAAATGAAGTAAAAATATGCATTTTTGTAAATGTAAAATAAAGAATACATTATATAATCATAAGGCAACTGTAAGTTTTAAAAATATGAGGAGACAACTTCAAGTTCTCTCTATAAAGCAGTCATAAATGTGGCACTTCACGAAAGTAATTAGCCATACACGAAGCTATCTGGTCCGATTAATTTTATTATGTAAATTTATATATTTATATATGTACAATATTAACATCAATTAGAAGGACAATGTCTTGGGAAATAAACATGATATTATCTTCCCTAAGAACAATAAGCAATCACTATAACTGAGCCCCATTAAAACTGTGTAGTTTATGTTCAATAAATTTCAAAAATCTATCCTAAACCAAAGTGATAACATTAAACTATGTGATGCCAATACAAATACAACAGCTTTATGAGGCATATTTTGAAGCATAAGCGGTTCCATGCCAAAAACTGATTTTTGGCAAGATACCTGATTTATGTACAATAGAACCCAAGTAGAAAATTGTATACAGTAACTTATATACATCAATGATGAAGTACAATATAATCAGAAATATAATTAAGCAATAAATAATGCTGGTTAATTCAACAGTTTAAGGTCGAAAAATGACATTTGATTACAAAGTAGTTTCTGAATATTAGCAGTACAGCTTCTGCTATAGAGTAATCCTACAATTATACTACGAAAAACTTCCATTACTGAAATGGTGATGTTGAGTTAATATAGAAATAAATAAAGAAATGATTTTATTCAGTTGTACTTTATAAGGAAGAATAAAACTATTAACACAATTTCAAAGGCTATGGGGAAAAGGTAAACAACAGAAAAGCTAATTGATGAAATGAGTAGCAAATTAAAAAAAAAATGTATACATAGGTAGGTTATAACCATTTGCGATAATAAACTTTGATGGCTAATGATAACCATAGCATGCTATAGCAAATGGAAATCAAATGATAAACAAATATGTTAAACCATGATTTAGATGTTCACAAAATAATAGAAAGGGAGGACTAACTAAGAGACATTTCAAATCTTGGATGTAGGCTTAAATATGGAATGGAATAACAAGTGCCAACCTATCAAACATGAAAATATGTTAGTTGAATCAATAGGCAAAATTAAATACTGAATTTCTTCTTACAAATTAGATTGATATCAGTTAGTCACGATGTTATATGGTCACAAAATGATGCATATCAAAATAAAATTTTGAAAAAAATATACTTCAATGTTTATCTGAAGATATATTTAAGAAAATAGATCATATACGACTGAACTTTTAATCATTTATAACTAGGAAAAAATAAATAACCAGATTTTTAAGATCACAGTTGATATATTTCACAAGAGAAAAATAAAACTCTTATAATAAATTTCACTTACATAACAAACAATGGTATCCACAAAAAGCTGAATATCAATAAAAAAAATCTATTTGCAATGGTAAATACATAAATTGTTAAAATCATTTTCACTTTCTCTTAATCATTTCAGTAAGGAATATTAATATGCTTCAAAGTTAAACAAGGGTTTATTAGTGTGGAAAAAACTGAAGTTACCTTTCAGTGGAAATGAAATTATCTTTACTAAGAAATCTTAGTTGAAAATAACAAGAAAACAAATTAAATACATATTAGTCAATGGAAGGTAACAATTATTTGCATTTCTATAATAGTAATAGAAATAATATTCAGAAATTTCAACAAATGAAGGTAAGTAATAATGAAACATTTCAATTTTTTTTTTTTTTTTTTGAGCAAATCAATAGAAAATCGATTAAGGCTGTAAGTTCCTCCCTCAAATTTTTTTTATTTTATTTTGAAAGAAAACGTTTAAAAATATCATAACAATTTAAGACTACAAGTGAATATGATAGAATGCAACAATGGAAACTAAAGCACAATTGTGTTAATTAATTCGTAACAAAATGTATGTCGATTTCAGGAATTAAATATTATGATGCATCTCACTAAGATACTATCCTTTCTCTTAAGTATTATAGATATCATCTTTTATAAAATGCAGTCTATATACATATCAAATAAAGGAAGACTTCTTTAAATAAACATTATTTTTTCAAAAACATTATCTAAATTAACAACGATATAAACATTATGAAAAATAACAAACGCATGAATATCAAAATAATACATGATTAAAAAAATAAAATAAGTAAAAGAAAGAGAATTTCTATATACGTGGCCTACATAGATATATCCCAGAAATGCTTATTACCTTAGAAACCATTTCAAAAAGAAAAACACAATAACAAATGCTTTACATATGAATTTGAAGATAATTATTCACATAAATATATTAGCATAAATAATACAAATACATATTCATTTAATTATATATTTATAAGTTCAAAAACCTGTATAAGATTCAATAAATATATTTATACTAAAAATTTAAAAATGAATAAATAAAACAAAACAAGAGAACAAAATCAAATCTTATCCAGGTTTATAAGAATTAAAAAAATATTATCACAATGTCTGATATATTAAAACTAACAACACACACAAGGGAAACTCCCCTTCCCCTTATCTTCCTCTGTCTTTTCTATAATAGTCAAAATCAATTAGAGCGCAAACATCTTGTTAATATATATATATACGTACATAGTTTCTTTATTAGACTTTCGAATTATTGCATTAATCCTCAACATTTGCTTAGTTTTAAAATAATTTTTGGCACATTTTGTTGATGCAGAGACTAAAAGGGCCAGCTCAGTAAGTAAAATTTTAAATATTATTTCATTTACAGCTTGTATTTCTGTAAAGCTTGTGAGACCATGTTCACACAATATTTCTCCATAACCATGAAGAATTAGTATCAAGATATCACGCAATCTTATCAACTCACGCCTCAAATCTTATCAACTAGTGTTTACTAGCTCTAATATACATTTTCCATTATAGTTTGGATTCTCTTATTCTTTTCTTGATTTCTTTTTACCACCCTTCTTTGGAGCACGAGCTTCTTTCCAAGTATCTGGAAAGAAATTAGAATCATTGTTCATAAAATATTTCTTAAAAAGATTAAACAAGACAATTAAGTGTTCATTTAAGCTGCTATCTAATTATTGATTTCACCAGTAAAATACTTTAGTATATTAAAACATAAAAATTCAATTTTTTTTTTTAAAATATTCTGTTATGGCTACCTCTTAAAACTTTTAAGGAGATCAGAGCTGATTAAAGTATGAACCATAAAAGGCACTTTGTATATTCATGGATATTTAAGAAATGAAGAAGGAAATAATATTAAGATTCAAAATCTGATATCAAGCAATCCAAAAAATTCACCACTTTTCAAAGTAAAAGGCTAAATTCTATCGACAATTGATGAGTTCAACAATAAAAGGTCTACTCACGGACTACTGCACCCTAAATAGGTTAAGTTCCTAAAATCAACAATGGAATTCAGAAAATTCTATTATACATCGATGGCCAATGGATCAGGTGGATCTAAGCTCATTATAATCTCAGTGTTAAATTGACTTAAAATATTTATATTCAATTTACTTTTTATCAATAATAATTTCTGATTTTAAACTCATCAATACAGTAGGCAGGTATTTCCTTCTATTTTTTATAACCTCCTAAGAGTACTAACCCTCAGCTGAAATCTAGCATTGTTCCTAAACTTGACATAAACTTTTGTTCATCAATACTGGATTCAATCGACTGATGGATTTCATCAACGGAATTATCGTAGAATTTAGAAACTTGCCCAATATCATCTCAAGATAAAATTAATGATATATTTTACCTTCTGTTTGTTTTAGAGAATGAAGAAAATGCTGAGTACATTCTGCGTGAATGAGAAGCCCATTAACTCCTATATTTCTCAGTCATTTACTTAAAATAACTCACAAAAAGTATAATTAACTTTATAGACAATAATTATAATACTAGATGGCTAGTACAAACAATTTACATAGTATAATGGCCAGGGATATATGGCAATGTAATAACACTGGTAAGTAACTTCAGTGCATTATAAGAGGAAGGAATTAATTTATTTTATCCTTGATGAATTACAATGATTTGTCTTGCATTAACTTGCAAAACATGAGAAAATACACTACTGGTCAATTTCGAAGAATTTGAGGAGGGTGCCTGATAAAATTTCGCCCCCAGACACCTGTAATTTAAACATTGGCCATGGTAGAGGGAATTAATCTTTGTTTTGTAATTAGTTTCTTTCAGACCATTGAATAATAAAAACCAATTATCCCTATTAATCAGTTTGTCAGAACTTCGTTAAAATATTTGCTACTTCATTTGAAAAAATGTTCATGTTGAAAGAAGAGCCCCCTCACCTAACTTATCTCCCTCTAGTAATGACCATACAATGGGTTCTGTGATAGAATTATATTCTTGTCCAGCTAAGAGGCTAAGGTTACAATTGCATTAGAATAAATTAGTTAATAATTATATTTAAATTATTAATAGAGCTATATATTACTGATAGAGCTACAAAACTGAATAGAATTTTTCTATTTACAATATTCTATCTAGAAGCGTTATCAGATTTAATAATATAATTTCAGAGTTTAATGAGATAATTTAATTACCTCCAAGTTCATCAAAGACAACAGTAGATTCAATGACTGGTGATTCAACTTTTTCAGGTTGTGGTACTAAAAGGAAAAGAATAGAATATTAACAATATTACTGAAAAAAAAAATATAAAATTTCATGCATGGATAGGGTGCATGAAACCAGATAACTCTACATTTTAAATAACTGTTTAATGTTTTTAAGTCATAATTATTATTTGAGATATTTCATTTCCCTTATAATGCTTTTTATTTTCACTTATTCATATATGAATTATATAGTAAGAGGAAATATGGCAATCATGAACAATTTTGAACCAAAGTTATCAACACAAATACATCTTTAAGGTCCTCTGAGACAAAATTAGTTTTGCAAAAAGATAAGTGAATGTGTGTTTTGTGTTTATGTATGTTAACATTAGATCAAAAATGAAAAGACCAAACTAAAATATCTTGTTTTACAACTTAGGGAATGTTAATAAAAATATCATGATTTCATTAAGTTAATAAATTTCTTACCAGTAACTGGCTCGACCACAGTTTCCTTCTTCGGCTTACCCTGTGGTACTGGAGGAGCAACTGGTTTTGGAGCTTCCTCAATCACTGGTTCAGAAGTTTCATTAATAGAGGATCCAGTTTTTTTCTTTCGATTCTTCTTCCTTTGTTCCTTTGGCTCTGTTTGTTCTGCATCAGAATCAACTGTGGTTCTACAAAACAAAGTAAATTCAGTAAAAAATAAAATTAATAATTAAACTGGCAATCATACATACATAAAAAAAAAGTATACCTATCATACCATAAAAGATGTAGGGTTCTGGATTGTTAAAAAAGTGCTCGACACCTTTTACTAATATATTAAAAAGAATCTTTAATAATTTAATATAAAAATGTTAGTTAGTAGTTCATTTTTCATAAGTAACAACATCTATCCAATTGATTGAATTACTATCAATGTTTGAAATAAGTCATTTAAGAGTAAATCATAAATGCATTAATATACATCAGACAATTAATAAATTATTTAAGGTAATCTAAAGAACTAATAGCTAAAAGAAATTTTGATCAGTAAGAATATTAAATCTTTTTTTTTATTTCAGATAACTTACTCAGGTTTCGGAGTAACAATATCTTCAACTTCAACTGGCTCTACGATTGTCTTTATAGGTTCTTCAATTGTTGGTGTGACAACCTCATCTACCTCTTTAATATCCTCCTTCTTCCTCTTTATTTCTTTTTTTTTATCTAAACAAATCCAAAGAAATATTTATTAAAACTCTAATGAGTTCAACAACTGTTGCCTATAAACAGTTCTGTAGTGAGCAATGACCAATACTCAACTGCACTAAATAAAGAAAAATAAACAGATATAAAATAAAATACATATAACTATACTGACATATTCTTATATATTTTAAGGAATTTTCTGTGACCTATATATATCTCTAATTTTTTCCATTCCTTTTTATCAGAGTATTCCTTAATTGATGCCAAGCTTACTTGGAAGTAAGCCTGGCATCATGAAGGTGAACCTCATCAATACATTACATTTTGTCTGTAGCAGCAGTTCCTACATACATTCTCCGATTATAGAAAAAAAAAACTTCATTAATAGCTCAAGTGGGGATGAACCAGAAGGGACTGCACAGTTTTCTGTTATGTCCACACAATATGGGGTAGATGAATCTTCTTCAGCAGATTCAGAGATGACTATTAAGTCTTAACCCAAAAACCCTTCCTCAAATTAAGAGATTCTTACATTGAGCTAGAAGTGAAGCTCAATCAGAGCAAAAATGTTAAAAACTAAAAGACCTACATAAATAAAATAAAGCCTAGGATGATCACACAGACAGATGGAAGAGTAACAACTTGGAAACAATCGACTTTGAACAATAGAGATATATCTATCAAGATAAATAATTTACCATCTGAACCTCTGAAATACAGACTGTGTTGACTAATAAATACTCAATCCCTACCATCAAGCAATTCTTTTTTATGTACAATTTTGTTAATCTTAGAAGAATAAATGTTCCAGATGATTGATAAACTATTCTTTCTTTTAAACTCATTCTACATATCATGAAACAGAAAATCTCAAATTTTGGAGTGTCCAATTCTTTTTGGAATTAGGCCTGAGTCTGTGATGGAGCAACATCGGGTCCATGTTATACGCTCCTTTGGTGTAGTTTTTCTCATCCGTTCAATCCTAAAACTGTCACGAATGTAGTGAGAGCGGTGCAAAATTTGAAGAAAATACGAGCATCTTCAAAATAAATTGAAGGCAAAGGAAGCTGCTTATAGCCCTAACCTGGCTTCTAATCTATCATAAAGAATAGACTTGCAGGCCCCCACCACCTTAATGCACCAGCTATCTACCAAGGTCACTGTCAGCTGTCAACAAGATACCCGTCATCGAACCTAACTTCTTTCCTAGTTATACCTTATAGCTTATTATGCAATACCTTATATCGTAATAAAGATATTCAGGTGAATGTATGTAATGTATAAATACTAGAAATTGTGTTTAATTTTTTTTTTTAAGAATGCATCTTTTGTGGCTATGAATATGTATTTGTTTAAACAGTGAATTGACGCACACATATATATGTAATTTTATTTAATATTTTTAATTTACTTATTCGATTTTAACTAATCAACATTATTTAACCCATGTATATTTTTTCAATCTACTTATTTCATTTTAGCTCACTAACATTATTTTATCTATCTATCTATTTATATAAATAATTTTAAACATTTTTTTTTAACCTATTCATTCAGTTTTAACCTACTGACATTTAATTTTTGTATATATTTTTAATCTATTTATTTTATTTTAACACTAACATTATTTTATATATTTTTAATTAATTAATTACATTATTTTTTTAACTTATAAGTATAAAGTTAACTTACTTATTTTATATTATTTTTTTAACTTATAAGTATAAAGTTAACTTACTTATATATTATAGTATAGGTTATAACTTCATGGTAAAGATAAAAAGATTTGGACATTAATCCAAATAATTCTGAAAAAGTCGATGTAGGTCATAGGGTATGGGTTCTGAGATCAGGAGGCGCCGATAAAAAGTTTATCAAGGTGGAGTGGCATTGGATGGCCAAACATTAGGCAAAACAATATCAATTGATGAAGTATTTCCTAGTTTGCCTAAACCAGGACAGACATCCAGAGAGTCTGGTGGTGAAATAACAGAGAGGAAAGAAAACCTTTCCTCAGAGGTTAACTACAAAGTGTGCCCCATTCGTGGGCAGAGTTTCAAGAGTGATAGAGGTCTCAAAACCCATATTGCTAAGAAGCATACCAGGGAGGCAAATGACACTAGAATCAAGAGCTTAATTAGTAATAGTAAAAAAGTGAAAAAAATGAGGGGAAGAGGAAGAGGGAGTAAAAAAAAATAACCGAATGGTTGTCTACCTTTCAGAAATTTATTCGGCACAATAATGTGGACAATGTGGAATTCGACGAATTGCCTGAACTAAGAAGAAAAAATTAAACCGATATGGCTGGCAAGGGTACAGGAAAAGTGTTGAATCCACAGAGGACCGACAAGATAAATAGGAGTCGTCGGCAAGAGCAATACCCATACGAGGTAGCTTAATATATTTATTATAATAGAAGGCCTATGTTCCTAAGCAATGGTCTCTGAAGGTAACAGAGTTGGAAGGGCACTTTAGCGGCCTCTTTGAGAAAAAAATCTCTGCAAATGTATAAATTACGAGAATTGCGCCCCGACGCCAAATTTAAAATCCATTGATGTCCAAGTGGTAAAAAAAAGCCATAAAATCAACATCATTGGACACATTACCGGGGCAGGACGGAGTTTTGATCTGCACGATTAAGTACTTCAATATATCTTGTATCATTAAGACTACTGTGGTGATCATACTGAAGGTGGCTTATGTACCAGAGCCTCTACGTCAAGAGCACACAGTCCTGGTTTACAAGGAAAAGGAAACGCCTACAGCATATCTGCATGGAAACCCATTACCATATACTTGTATAAACCCATTACAATTGTGCGCCGAATCATTGAGAAGGTTCTGGACCATGAACTAAGAAAACAGATCACCTTCAGCAAAAATCAGAGGGACTTCATCAGGGGCCCACCAGGAGTACAAGAATCATCGACGCAATCATAAAAGATGCAAAGAGCAGAAAGAATGATTGCGCAGTGGTATTTGTTGATGTCGTCGGTGCTTTTGATGTTAGTCACAATTATAATGTGGTCGCAGTTCTTCTGTGGTCAAACCAAATCAAGATTGGAATCGGAGCCCATGCCAAGGAGTATCCCAAGGCAAACCCTTGTAGCTCTCACAGTTCAACTTGGCTATAGATCACCTATACCACGACCTATCTGAACAAGAATTTTCCAACCACTATGGATATAAACTAGCCAGTGACCAAGAATGTGTGGTCCTCACAGGCTTCACGGATACCAGGCTGTTACAGCACGTGACAAGGGTGCTGCGGAGGATTATCAATGGGCTGCAGAGGATTCTTGTCGAGATTGGTATAGCTATTGGTCTTTTAATTGATAAAGAGGGCATCAAGAAACAAAGCTCTCCCTAGAGAAAGGAGAAATTATTGTATCAAAAAAGGCTGGTGATGCAAAAAAAAGTATTCAGGATGAAGAAATGTTGACTAAATTGAACAGAAATTTTGAAAAATTGGTTAGCTCTTGCCTTCTTAAAACCGAGCAGAAGGTCAATGTTGACTTAATTACTCTCTTTAGATAGCGCCCCACACAAAGATATGTCCTGGGATATTGGAGGAAATTGATACCAATATCCGCAGGAATATCAAGGGCATTATTGAGCTCCCCATTAATACATCAATGGCGATTTTGTATGCACCAGGGAAGAAGTATCGCAGATTGGGACTGATCCGCTGTCAATGCTGGAAGCTCCTTTGCAACATTGGACCATTGCCCAGCGACTCTGCAATATGCCGGACGCCCTGTTCCAGTCTACATTTGATTATGTTGAAATCACTGAATGCGCGGAGAGACTAAGAGTTGATGAGAGCTCTAGAACAGTCTCTGAGAGAGAATTCTTTTAAAGAATGAGCCAGTTGCAGGTGGCAAGGCATTGGAATTAGGCATTTTAAAGAGATTCCGAAAGTGAATAAATATATATGTCAGAAACAAGTACTTTCGGGGTCAGGATGGTCCAATGCCTTACAACTCCAATATAAACTACACGCCTTTGCGTGGAGTTGCAAGAGCCAGTGGACAGTCAAAGGAAGTTGGGTCCCTCTGTGCGATTCAATGATGAATTCTTGGCAATCGAATATATATATATATATATTTTTTTAATGTATATGTTATGCAATGTTGATGGCTTAATATAGTAAGCCAGCATTACTTTCAATTAAGTATTTTTCTCCAGATTGATTGCACAGGTTAATCGTAGAAAATAATAAATAAATTAAATGATAAAAACCAAGTTTTATAATTTTAATAACAAACATGGTTTAAGTTTAATAAATAACACAGATAAAAAACACTTTGAAATTTCAAACAAATAGGTAATTTAGTAATATACACAGGACTAACATTCCTAAACATGTTAAAAAATAAATCTGATGCAGTGCGTGAACACACAACTTTCAATTACCACCCTACTTTGAGTAAACCTCGGTCTTTTCATCATTTGATGTTTTAAGTTCAAAACATATTAATCACTAGCGCCCATAAAAAAGTAATAATACTATTAAAATATTAAGCTGGTAGCAACTGAAAATAAAAATCATTGTAATACAAAATATTATTTGAAACCATTAATTACTGTTTTTCTCGTCTAATATATTAAATTTATGCGTTTTTCATCACTAACCATTTTCTTTTATGACTATATGTTTTAATTATTTATTTAATTACAAGAGCCACAAATTCTTTTTAGTCAGACAAGAGTGTCAGTAAGGAGTTTATTTATTCATTTATGTTTCATTGTGAGTATATATTTTGTTAAAACACTGTTATATATACAGACTTTAATTTTTCTATTGCTGTAATTTATACATTCAAATATTAAATAATACCAGCACTAGTACTAGCATATATGAAAAACATACATGTATAAGTAAATAATATAATCGGAACAAGTCTACCTAGCTTAGCTTAAGGGCGCGTTCAGGTTTCCTCGGCTTCTCATTACCCCAATTTTCATTTCTCGATCCCATAATACCATCTCTTATTTCTCCTTTAGTTTATGATCAATTTTTTTCACTAGTTATATTTAACCATTTTTATTCATTATGTGAATTGTGAAATAGTTAATTTTTAAAAAGAAACAAAATCCCCAAAACACTGACGAAACTACAACAGTCAGAATAAATGGTGCTTCCCTCTTTTATATTATTTTTAGCACATTCTAATAAAATTCTTGCCTTTCTGTCCTTCATTTTTATGATGAAACACTCGTCTGTTTCTCGACAAACTCCGTCAAATGTCCAGTGTTCAGGGAGAACTCTTCCTACATGATTTTTTCTTTCAGAAAAAAAAATTCTCGTCTACTTCAACGACTTTCCCAGGCCCTCCAATTTTCTTAGTTGACCTGTATAACACGTTATGGATACAAACCTCTCTTAAAAATTTGTTCCACATAATGATACATCTGTTCGATAGTTTCAGCAGCTCTTTGCCCCACTGTATTGTCAAATTATGAGACCACCCATAAATTAGTTTTAAAGCAGTTGAAAAGGTAATCTTCAATCCCTCTAACCATGGTTCTTTCCTTATAGATACGTTTTTGTTACAAGTCTAACAAAAACATCTCCATTTCGTCTTCCCGTCGAACTTCATTACGTGATGTTCTTTACAATATTTCACCTTTGCAATTAACCCAGTGTCTTGAAAATATTTGATAGCCTCTTCTTCTGAAGACGGCAATCACCACAATGTAATAACATCCATTTCAACAATAAACAATCCAACAAAAATTATCGATGCAATAACTCACACGAGAGAAAAAGGCAGGTTATGTTATGTAAGATGTTAAGAAGATAATGTAAGATAAAATAAGAAGGAGATTTACTGCTGACCGGATTGTTCACATGTATCAAAACACTTAATTTTACATTAGCACAATGAGTATTGTTGTCAAATTATGAGACCACTCATAAATTAATTTTAAAGTGGTTGAAAAGGTAATCATCGACCCCTCTAACCACGTTCCTTTCTTTACAGATACATTTTTGTTACAAGTCCTACAAAAGCATCTCCATTTCGTCTTCCCAAGAGAAAAAGGCAGGTCATGTGATGTAAGATAAGTTAAGATGGTGACGTAAGATAAGATAAGAAGGGAGGTTTACTGCTGACCGGATTGTTCACAAGTACCAAAACACTTAATTTTACATTAGCAATGAGTTAAATCAAAATCGTTGGAGTCATTTCATAGAAAATCGTAAAAATATGTTAAATCGATGATATGAAGTACCATTTTCGATTTACCAATTTTGAAAAAAATGTTGATGACCTTTCATTTTTGAGCTAGCCTGTTCACACACACACACACACACACACACGCACACGCGTGCGCACACATATACAAACATTTTGGAGACTTCGTTATTTGGACTCAGGAGACCTCAAAACATTTATTTCAGTTGAAAACTCAGATTCGAAAATTTTCACGATCGCAATACTTACCCTTACTATATATTACATATATAAGTAAGTGAAAGTAAAAAAAAAACAGAAATAATAACTAATGTTTTTCATTGAGATATAACAATGTTCAATTACCTAAAACTAAAATTTATTCAAGACTTGAAAAAATAAAAATTACAGGAATCAAAAACATGACTAAAAAACAAAAAACATGACCAACCTGACTTTGAAGGGGAAGTTTCATCAGCAGTGGTTTTTTTCTTTTTATCCTTCCTGGATGGTGCCTGTTCCCATTCACCTAGAAAATTTATGAAAATATATCTAAAACTAAAAAAAAGGATAGAAAAACAAGGACTTATGAGTAACTTTGAAATATTTGATGGTCATCGATTAATATGCAGGTACTTGTACATTAATTGAGATGAACATATAGTCCGTGGTAGAGAACCCTTTTCATCGAAATATTAACATCCACTTGAAACTTCATAAATAGTTTCGTCTCATCATAACCTACAACTATTTTATTTATGAAAACTCTTGGAATTGGGACGTTTTCAATCTGAATCGAAAGATAATTTGATCACAAAATCGAGAAAAAAAAAGGTGCACTGCAAAGATATTGGGGCGTTTATCCTAGATAACCTCATTATTTTGAAATTTTGGGAGTGTAGGTCAGATCAAACGGCTCAAAATCTTTTAAGGCTACCTTTTTCCTCGATTTTGTGATCAAATTATCTTACAATCTAAGTAGAAAGCAAATGCATACCTACAAGTTTTTAGTATCTATTAAATAGACAAAGTTTGCCCCCCTCCAGATTGAAAATGCCCCAATTCCAAGAGTTTTCATAAATAAAATAGTTGTAGGTTACGATGAAATGAAATTATAAACGAAGTTTCAGGCGGATGTTAATAATTAGATAAAAAGGGGTTTGTAGAACGGACTAATATAAAAACTGTTTCCTAATAAATTATGAAATGATCATGATATTTATAGTGGAAACAAATTAGAGCAAAAAATATTATATTTTCAGAAAATTATCACAATGTGTCATTGAATATTTTAAAAATCAAAACGGATATAGGGATCTTTCAGATGACTAACATTTAATAGTACATGACATCACGCCTTTTCTCCAACTTTTGTGGACTACCACCAGTTCAACACACAAGAGGAGCTTTCAATTTTCAAATGAGACTCCTCAGTTGATATTGAAACTCGGAACTTTGTCCTAAGAAAATAGAAATAATTTTCTGAGATTATAGATAATTGCACTGTACCTATTAGTCAAAAGGAAATAATATTGTAATAGAGAGAGGTGAATTCATCGATTAAAAAGCCAAGTTGAGATTTATTTACTGAAAAATATATTTACTATCCTGTTGTACTATGATGTAAGTTCAGTCAAATAGTTCATGTTTTTTCGTAATGATAATATCAACAAATAAGTGATAGACTAACTAAAAGAGCCTACATTTTCACAACTAAAACTTCATATGAACTATTCAAAGTTCTTTTGTCCCCTCCCCCTCCTCCCCCATCCTCGCCTTTTCGGCTACACAGGGTTTTCCCAACCAGAGAAGAGGGGGATTAATGCCAGAGTTAAAAGGTGATCAATATTAATAAGTCAACTTGTTAGCATGGTTCATGTATTACACAGGACGTAGATTTGAATGAGAAAAGTTTTCAGCTAATCTATTTCTTTTTATAATTTCACATATCTTACATTCAGCATTCTTTTTTCTTAAATTAAGAAATGGGTTTATTTTATCTTAAGTGCTTGAACAATGAAAATCCAATAAAAACAAAATTAGAGATAACTTAAGATAATTAAGAAGTAGAGAAATGGAGTCAGCAAATTATTAAATATAAAAATAATTTATATTTAGATATTGAATTGGCATTTTCCAACTTTCAAAATATATAACTTTAAGCAATTAATTAATGTTATTTCAAATACTATTTCATTAAGTTTTATGAGAACAGAGGTAAGAGTATTGGAATTCTGTTAGTTTGAATGCTCCCACATTATTAATATTAAAAATCTAGTCAGCCATTTCATCGATTTGAAGTTGAGTAAAATTTTTTAAATTTAATTTCTTAAATAACACAAACCTAAGTAAGTTTACTTTTGTGAGGCTGGACTGTTTATTTCATATATTCTGGAATCCAGAAGATTCTTACAATAACAGTGAAAAATAATGAAGCGTATTTTGGCTATGAATCAACATTAAATTATCATTAGAAGCATTTCTGCAATAGTCATATCCACAATTATAAAACCAGGATTTGACAAGTGCTCACCTGCTGTGGAATGTTTGATGTTCACAGAACAGAAAGACTCTACAATATTTTAAAACAAGTATCATGAGAGTAATTTGAGGGGTGGACTTCCCAGATAATGAACCAGCTTAGTGATATTAAGGTGGACCACTTAAATGGCTGGGGTATTTTATATTATTATTATAGGGGAAGAGATTTGAATGAATCACCCAGAAACAACTTGACAAATAACATTCTGAGTCTAAAAAGATTAATCAAGACCTCAATTGGTAGATAGTGCGAAAGACACTATTTCAGATATAAACCAGACACTGTCTCTTTTAAGTTATCCATAACTGGAAAGTGGTCATATAGAAGAGAGGGACTGTGAAGGCACGCAAGAATAAATAATAAGGATTTAGTCATCATTACTTTATTCCAGAAGCCAAGATTCCTGCTAAACTTGTGGGTCATCAACGGTACAAGTAAATTCTTTGAGAATGTCACAAGGACATAGTTTATATAAAAACATGTTGAATGTTATGATAAAAAATTATTTTATCATAAAATATAAATATTCCATGATATAGATTTCCATAAGGCAACACATATAACCATTTTATCCCTTTTATCAAGTTTAATTTATTTAATTTTTTATTTGGTAGCTTTTATGAAAGTAAAACATTTCATTTAGCACATATAAGCTAGTGTATATACATTTTGTTAGCTTTTAAAAATTTTCAATAGAGAATATCATCAGTATTTTATAAATTGTAACGTACAAAACATACAATTATTTTTAATTAGATAATTTTGTTGATTGGACTAAACCATAACTTGAAAAATATTCACATACCATCATCAAAATCTTTAGGCTTCTCATCTGCTTGTTTATTCTTTTTGTTTTTTACTTCAACATTTTCCTTCCCTTTCCCTTTTTTTTTAGAGTCAGATGGTGTGGGTGGAGCAGGTTTCGCATCTCTATTTTCTTTCAACGCTGTTTTCTTCTCAGGTTTTGATTTTTCTTTCACAGGAGACTTTTCAACATCTTTTTTCAGAGGTGCTTTAACATCTTTCTTGGATTCTCCAAGAGAGGCAATATGACCATTTGATTGAGTCTTCTATAAAAAAACAAACAGATAAATTAAATCCAAGTTGGTCGTAGCTACCACACAATTTAAAATATAAACTGTTAAAGGATCAAAGGTCTCAATGAGTTAATGAATAAAAAGATAAATTAAAGTATATATCACCTAATCAACAATTAGAAATAAAATATAATCAACAGATATTTAGCTTTCTTTATTAGTAGGCTTTCATAACAAATCTCGAAAGAAGTAACAATAAAATAATCAGATATTAATTGGCATATGCTGGACCAATATGGCCCTAAAATTAATTCATCAACTTTTTACACAATTGAGAGTTGAGAGAATAACATAAAACAAGATTTAAAACAACTTAATTACATTAGAGAAGTGTTATAATATCTAAAAATGACATATAAAAAGTACATAACATATGTGTCATCTCTTCTAAGGACTAAAATTATTTGAAAAGTTGCCAGATCACACAAACCTATTCTAGAATATGGAATTGGTGAATCTCCAAAATAATCAACTGATAAAACTACTTATCAATAGGATACTACATTGATTGAAATGAGATACCTTTTCCTTTGGTTTCTTTTTTTTTCCATTTGCTTTTCTATCTTCGTGTGGATTTGTTAATTTATCAAAAGGTGGTTCCACTGCTGATTTAAAACCGAAGACATAAACGAGAAGGGCAAATAACAGCACTCCTCCAACCACCAGGCCGTGAAAAGCATACTGGGCACCGATTAACTCGGACAGTTGCAGGTCCATGACTCTATAACGTTGAACTGATCACATTTACCCTGCCAACCAGTCACAACTATCACACACACAAGCTGAGAAAAATCTGCTGACGCTGATCCCTCTTACGTCAGATAGTACGTGTTTATATGGTCACTTGATAACAGTTGTTGTAATTTAGGCTACAACTTCTAGGAGATCTACATCTAAATTAACTATTTAAACCTCTATTTTGTCCATAAATAAATAATATTGACATTTTAGATTTTTATTAATTAATTATATGAAGTAATAAATTTGGATTAATGAAGAAAAATAATTAACTTAGTTTGATATTTACTTAATAAAAAAATAATAATGATATGAGCATTGAACTTTACCATGATACTTCTCGTATTATAGTATTATTAAATATTGTGATAAAGTTTTTAAATACAAGATTCCATAATTTACTAGCCAGGATATGAGTGCGCAACCTATATTATATTTCGGGTTGATAAAGGTATATTTTAAAGTTCTAATCTGTTAGTTATTATTTTGATAAATTAATCTTTTAGCTAACATTAAATGCAAAATATTCTTCACGTATTGAAAAAAAATCTATTTAAGATAATTAATTGTCTTCCATTGTTTTTAGTTCTTAATACTTTATTCAGCTATGGTTGACCCAAAAAATTGATTTTAAAAATACTAAAAAACATTAAAAATAGACCAGAAAAGATTTTGTTTAAAAATTGCCAAGTTGCTGATAAATATCAATCGTATTAAGATGTGAAGCGGTTAAATTGAAAATATTTAGTAATACAATTTAATTGAAAAAACTGCTCAAATATTTAACTATTTTAAGCAACATACAAAATTCAACAAACTAATGGAAATCTGACTAGTTAAATTTCTTGTATGGAATAATTAATTTTTTTTTGGGAGAGAACTCCCTGAGATACTGTTTTCTGGAAGTATTTTGTAGAAATATATCGCGTATTTTTTCTCTGTTGTTTTATTATTATGTTTTTTGTAATACTAAATTGTTACACATGGGCGAAACTAGGGGAAGGGCAGTTGCCATCCCTTTCAACATAGTAATATAAAAAATTGACTAGTAATAAATATAAATAACAAATTTCTAAGAAGTTGATAGAGAGCAACAGATTGGTTGTTAGTATTTCAACATTTTAAAATTTGTTTTTCCCTTCCTCGCCTTTTAGACTATACGTGGTTTGTGGCTGAGAGTGATGGATTAATGAGTTAGTAAAGTTAAAAGCATAAAAGGATTTTATGATTGATTCATGTGCACCCTTCCATTTTTACATAAATATTTTATCAAATTCCAGCAAATTTGAAGCATCGGAGTTCATCTCACTGTCTCAAACCTTTAAATAAAAATAAAAATAAAAATATGTAATGTATTCAATTGCTATGTTAATATATTTTAAAACATACCCACAAGAAAAAACTAACTTATAAACACAAACATATATATACAATATGGCATATATATGCAACTCACAATCAAAACATGGCAGACACCAGGATATTGATAAAAATTATTGAATGACATTTATTGAAGGGCTCCGAGTTTTGGACAACAGAGATATTTGCTGATGAAAGTAAATTTAATATTTTGGGGTGCTATGTGTAAAGGAAAGCAGGAGAAGAGTTTGGAAAAAACAATTTACGCCAAACCGTGAAACATGGGGTGGCAGTGTTATTGTGTGGGCTGTATGGTTTTATGATGTAGGAAATTTTCACTTTATAGAATAGTATAGTTAATAAACATGTTTATCTGGATATTTTGAGCGGAAACTTGAAAGAAAGTGCGGAAAGTGGGGCTCAAAAAAAAAATTTTGTTTTTATCGCAATAATGGCCCCTAACACTCTGCCATGTTAGTTAAGGAATAGTTATTTTATAACTGCCCCAAAGTTGAAGAGGATATTACGGTTAGTTTGAAATGCTTGTTATTTTTCTTTGTCAAAACTACTTAGTTCTCGCCTCCTGTCCGGAAACATAAAAATGTGTTTAGTCCGTGATATAAATGCCACTTCCGGGTAGCCAATTTCGACGAAAAAGTTTATTAATATCTCTAGCATATAAAAACTTTAAATATGCAATTTCACTATCATACGGCTTTTCGTTTATGAGCTAGACTTTAATACACAGACCATTTTGCGGGACTTGGTTATTTCGACCCAGGGCACCTCAAAACTTGTATTTCCGTTGAAAACTCAGATTCGAAAATTTACTCGACCGCAATACTTTCCCTTGCTATATATTTCATATATGGGTAAGTGAAAATAAAAATTAGAAATTACAAAACCGTTATCCTTCCTACGGTTATTTATGGATGCGAAACATAGCCGCTTACATTAAGGGATGACCAACGCCTTATGGTTTTCGAAAATAAAATTATTGCGCAGAATATTCGGACTGAAAAAGGACGATTCAACTGGAGAATTTGGGTGGTTACACAACGCTGAAATGCGTGAACTGTATCCGGTCAATATAATTGCTCGAATTCAAAGCTTCCTTATCTTCGGGAAAGGAATAAAAATAAATCGTTATGAATTATTGTACAATACTTTATTATTTCTAAATTATGTTTCAAAAATATGGCTACTCACGACCTTCTTGACAGTATTGCAATTAAAATTAAAAGCAGTGAAATTGCAACACAAATATTGTTAGGAATATCTTCGATAATACTGGTTCGGTTAATAGTTCCTTTTTAATTTTTATTATATTTAGCTTTGTAGGCAATTTGATTATCCTTCAAATGATCACCTTCACTAACGGATCCAGGATTTAATTTTTTAGGGGGACTTCAGCCTCCTAAAATTGTTTATATGTATATAATGATTATCATAGATTTTTCCTCGAAGAAAAAGAAAGAACTATATGAAATAGTATATTAGTGATTCTTGAAGTCCTATTAAATGCAATTACATGAATAGTAATACTTTCAGAGGTCACGTTTTAATATCTTTTCCATAGACATAGCTGCATTGTATTTTACCATTTGGGGTAGGGAGCTTCAGCCTGAAATAAAGTTAAACTAATGTATTGTTAAACCCTTTGGTAATAAAGTGTCCAGCTTTAGAGCAGAAAATATCAGATCATGTTGTTCTCAATCTTAAAGCCTAGTACACACTAGTAGATATTGTTGCGCGTTTTTTCTGTAGACCGTCTCGAGACATGGTTTCTAGACCGTTTAGAGACACGATCGGAAGACTTTAGGCAAGCGATTTTTGTCCTCCCAACAGGTCAGTAGACGGAGATTTGTCTATAGACATGTCTAAGTAGACAAACTGAGGCATGTCTCAGAGACAAAAATCTTACAACATGCCTACTAGTGTGGAATAGGCTTAATAATCGTAAATATATATATAAACGTATTTTTAATCTACACAACAATAATAACAACTCATTCAGTTGCATTCAACTTTCAAAAACGTTAGTTTGTTATAAAAATAATCATTTTGACGTTTTGTTTTGTAAGCCCCCTTGACTGATTTTCTGATTATTTGTGTATAATTCAGTTGATGCTGAACACAATGAGCTATCTGTATTCTAAATAAGTATATTTAAGTTAAGAAAGATGTTACATTTAGAACTATTCTTAGGAGAAGCATTGTGCAATATCAAATTCAGACAAAAAAAAAATCTTTGGGTTCAAACATTCATAGACCAATGACTATTCCTTACTTCATCAAGGAGTGAAATTTCGGACCTATGATATACAACTTTTTCTTTCTAGCTCAATTTGTAAATTATGACGATTTTTTGTACGTAAAGGGTCATCACAATTAAATAATTAATTCCTTTGGCATCTGAAATTATTTGTGATTGATGTTTTTGGCAAATCCGGATTTTTCGCGCCTGATTCTGTAGATTGTTAGTAAAATCTGAATAAAATTTGTTTCTTTAAAGATTAATGTTTACATCAGTATATGAAAAAGGATTGCGGATTGAAGTAAAAGCAGCGTTACTTCTATTCACTCTTCACAGAACCGGCTATATCACTACTATTAGTGCAAAAGGTCGTATACAAAAATTTTCCATTTTTATTCTATTTGTGCTAAATGTAACATTCTGTAGTCTGCAACTGCTATAAGCAGTCTGCTACTATGGAAAAAGCAGAGAGAAATTATACCAATATACCATAATGAAGTAATCGGTTTTTACACTTTCCTATAAAACAAATAATTTTTACATAATTTGTATTTCAGTGCAACACTGCTCGTACTTACCCCACTACATCTACATCCCTACCTTCTCCATCAGTCACTACTGGCAGTTAGCTTAGTTAGTTTGTGTACACTTGTTATTGTGTTTATCGTAATTCTGGTTATAATGCTTACCGTCCTATTTAAGATTAAAATGGACTGCCTTTCTATAATCAGTTTTTCTGCGACGGCTCTTTTTGAGGGACATGTTATGTATCATTAATTAGCATTATGTAGTGTGTTATTCCAGAAATTGGCCTAATTAGGTTATTAGACAAGGTTTTGAAACTTGTTTGTTACTTTACTTCGGCCTATTTAATGGATAATATTTCTGTTCTAATCTACAAGAGTATTTCATCTAGTAAACCATGCCTTTCTGTTTGTCAGGAAAGTTATATTTTGGTATTAAAATTTCTTGACAAATTGTTTTTATTCTGTGAGAAGTAATGAAAATGATGTCCGATGTAGGTTTTGCAAGGTCTGGCCTATTAGAAACCCAAGTAAGAGGCCAGTGGTACAGAGTATTTGTTGTTTTGGAAGAGGAATATTTAAGCATTAGCTTAGATGAAAGTTATGAAAACTCTACTGCTCTTAATGGAACTTTAAATAACAATAATAATACACTTGACTCTACAACTGGAACTCTTGAATCAGCTGAAGTTCCTGATTCAGTTGCTAATCAAAAAAGAGTTGTTCGTGTCATTAAATCCGATAACAATGGTCTTGGTATATCGATTAAGGGTGGTAAAGAGAACAAAATGCCAATTCTTATTTCCAAAATATTTAAAGGTATGGCTGCTGACCAAACTGAGCAGCTTTATGTAGGTGATGCCATACTATCTGTGAATGGTGAAGATTTAAGAGATGCCACGCATGATGAAGCTGTCAAGGCTCTGAAAAGAGCTGGAAAAATTGTGCAGCTTGAAGGTAATTTCCTTTCCGCTATATATATATATATTTAAAGCAAAAAACTCAATTAAACCAAAATATTAAATTACTTAGTTAAAAGTTATTCTGATATAGAGCCAAAACAATTTGCTTTTCAAAGTTTTTAAATTGATGTTTAGAACATTTGAATAATTTTTACTTAATTTTCTATTGTTTACATTTTATGCTTCAATTCAATTTATAACTATTACTTGACTGACTTGATTGATTATAAAGTTATTCTAAACTAAACTTCTTCAATAGTAACAGGTGATAATACAACCTACTCTGTTTCAAAACCTAGTATTTTATCACCATTTTATAATCCAGATTCGATGTCTTATAAAACCTCTCCTATATTTTAAAAATAAATAAGAAGTATATTATATGTAACTTGGGAGGCAGCTGAGTAAGTCAGTGAGTTAGGTACTTCAATCTCCAGGGCTTCAGTTTGAGTATGGTTATAGCTGTTAATTATTTATTATATTATATAAGTCATAAATGGACCATGAGGTCTTAAGATCCTCCTGGTTCACCCTGAGCTTTTAAAAAGTGGGCAACCTAAATTGGAAAAAAACTTGATGATTGATCATGAACTAGGCCAAATCACCTCTTAATATGACCCTCGGCCTTGGAGTAGTTCTTCCGAATTTATTGAACCCAGACCATTTATGGATTGTAGTCGTGTTTTGTGATTGTAGGTTTATACATAATAAACTATGTCATTAAGAACTAGTTACATAAATGCATAGTGTATATAATATATTAAAGAAGTAATAATAATAATAATAATAATCAGAAAAGAGCGCTGCCCAGACAGAGAGAGGTTTACAATGATAGTAGATGGAAAGAAAGTTCTTATGGTAGAGAAAAAAGGGAAGGAAGGAGGTGTATAAGGAGGTTTAAATGACTTGTTTTACTTTAGTTTCCCTTGATTTTAAATATTTTGAGCCCGATAATTTGTTTCATTCTCTGTAATAATTTTTTTGTGCTTAAATAATTTGTCATCAACAAAATTTTATCTGTTGAATATATTTAGTTTTTTGTTTTGAGTTCAGTTGCTCTTAGAATCCAAAAAATCTGAATCATAGTGTTTGTTCAATAAACTATTAGTATATCCAAGGTGATTTAATTGAAGAAAATTAATGCTTTTATAATTTTGATTTGATTAAAGAAGAATTGTTCTGTAGTAAAAACCTGAAAAATTTACAAGTAACAAAAATAATTTAACATCTTCAATTTTTTATTAATTTAACAGATTGAATTAATTTAATTTGTTGCTGTCCATAATTGATATGTTAATGTGATTTTTCACTTTTAAGATTATATTATTCCTTGCCATTTATTTGATGATTAGTAGGATCATTGAATTTAATCTTGTGGTTATGTAAAAGTGTTGACATTTACCTTGCATTCAGCGTGATTTATAATGTTAATAAATTTTTGCATCATAAAATATTTTAATGAGCTATAATTTTTTTTTATTTTTATCAACTTTAGTGATTATTATTTTAGTTACATAATGTAACTACATGAAATGAGTTGTTTTTTTTTGGGTCCTTCCCTTCCTCGCCGTTAAGGCTATACGGGATTTTCCCGGGCCAGAGAGTGTGGGGGAGGGATTTAAAAGACTCCCTCAGCACCGGGACGCGAACTCGTGTCTATTTTTATATCATTTGATTGATATATCAGGTTGCCGGGCAACGGCGGTGCTGTGCACACGCGTCAGCCCATTCGGCCACCCCGCCCACTTCACATGAAATGAGTTATTAAATTTATTTATTCATATTCTCTATATAAGCTTTTATTGCAATAACTTAGGAATAAATTTATATAGTTATTTAGTGAATCCCCTTTAACTAGAAACAAAGTTATATAGTTAATTAGTGAATCCCCTTTAACTGTTTGAAATCAGAATTTAGTTTATTCACTATTATGTTCATTTGCATTTATATGACAGGGGATAGGTTATTACCAGAAGAGGATTACAATGTTATAATCTGGGAAGAGGATGTGGAAAGGGCTATAGAAAAGCTAAAGACTAGAAAAGCAGCAGGGAGGGATGGCATTGCCCCAGAGCTAATTAAGTTTGGAGGACCAGAACTGCAGAAGCATCTGCAGGACCTCTTTCAAGCAGCTTTTTCTCAAAATACTGTGCCAAAGGAGTGGGAGTATAACATCCTCATTTCTATACAAAAAAAAAGGAAGCTCTAGTGGCTGCAACAATTACAGACCCATATGTCTCTGCCAAGTGGTTTACAAGCTCTACACATCCATCCTTGAACAAAAGTTGAGAGAAATCGTAGAAGGAAACCCCGAAGAAGAGCAGGCAGCATTCAGACCGCGCCGCCAGACCCAAGACCACGTATTCTCAGGACTATCATTGAAAAATCATGGGATCGAAGGAAGAGCATGTTTCTAGCTTTTCTTGATATCAAGGCGACATTTGATTCGTTCCCTAGGCAAGAAATATGGGCAGCTCTAGCCGCAAAAAATGTACCCAATGCACTAATAGAATCTATAAAATCCATGTATCGCAACACAAAGGGCGTAATAAGAATAAATTGAAAAGAATCCGAACCTTTCGAAATGAAAAAAGGATTAAAACAAAGAGACAGCTTTAGCTCTCTACTGTTCATCATATTCATGGATGAAATTCTAAAAATATACAAGAGGAGGACAGCACAGACAGTTGTTGGGAAGTGGAATATGAGGACAATCCTTGCTCAGCCTATGGTTTTTGCAGATGACATTGTTCTCATAACAGATTCAAAAGGAAATCTGCAGCAAGCAATCATACAGTGGGAAGCTGAGCTGGATAGAAAGGGAATGATGATCAATGCAAATAAGAACAAGGTAATGTGTATAGGACGAAATGAAGAAAATGTGGAGATCCGATGCAGAGGAGAAATCCTAGAGAAGACTGAGGAATATACCTGCCTAGGTACAGTCATCAGCAGGAATGGAAATATTGATGAGGAAGTTTCCAACCGGATCAAAAAGGCAAATAATGTCTACTACCAACTGCAACACAATTGCTGGGAAGAGAGAAGTGGACAAAGATGCACATTTTCAAGGCAATATACCTACCCACTCTTCTCTATGGAAGCGAAAGCTGGGTCCCACTGAACAAGCACTGGAGCCGATTAACAGCAGGAGAAATGAGAGTGGCTGGCCGAACCAGAAGGGATCTGGTCAGAAATCAACGAATACGAAAGGACCTGGGAGTTTCGGGTGTAAAAGAGGTGATTGAGAGGAGGCAGCTGAAATGGTTTGGCCACCTTTGCCGAATGGAGGAAGATAGAGATCCAAGGAAGTACTTCGAAGCTAGTCCAACTGGAAGACGTACCCGGGGCAGACCTAGGTTAACGTGGACGGACCACATCTTCAAGCTGGGACAGCAAAGAGGACGCAGGCGGAATGCCATGAAGGCACTGGCCAGAGACCGGGATGCGTGGCTGGCATGGACTGAGGCACCTCCACGCTGAAAGACACAAGGAGGAAGAAGAAGAAGATAAGAGAGATCGTAACGGAGAATAGTTGTAATGGAAGAACCAAAGGAATACGAGCGCGTCCGAGCTCACCCAAAAGAGTACATACGTAACATGAGCTTAATATAATACGGACTCCAACAATATTATGTACATATACAAGTGTGGTTTTCATAAATGCTATCGTTGGTATTATTTAATAATTAATTGTCTGGAATAAAAATTAAAATTTGTCGATATAAGGGTATTCAAACAAATAAAAATACCCACAATTAAATGTAAATAAATATAACGCCTATAATGTTTACTTCATTGGCTGTGGGGCGACCTTTGGTCAGGAGTCCCTCCTGGGGTACACCCAGCCTCTATAAACTGGGTACCTTTAATTAAATAATTAATTAAGGAGGAAAACCTGGTGGTTGAGCGTGATCTCGATCAAATCACCTCCTTGCATAACCGTTGACCTAGAAACAGTGCTTTCCCTAAATAGTACTGAACCACAGACCCTTAATGGGTTGTAGTGGTACAGGTTTTTTTTTTTTTTAAATGTTTACTTTCACCTTCCCTTTGTCTGAAAATACTTATTTCTGCTAAGAAGAGGGTGGTAAGTGAAAGTCGTGTGATGTGCGCACCAGATTTTTACAATGATTCTGTTAATTATCACTCATAATTTTAATTTATGATAAAAACTCTTAACTTTTTTGGGGGGAGTCCATTGCCCCAACCCCAAACTAGAATGGAAAGTCTGCACTTATGGTGGCCTGAGGTGAAGGGTGACTTCTTTGGTCCAGTGTTCTTTCTGACAATGGTCCTCTTCTATGGGCTCCAACGGAAAGTTCATCAAGCTCTTCACTAACCAATTCCAAAACTCCTCATGGTTTCAGTTCTTATAACGGATTTGACCCAAAGTTATAAGTAATTCAGAGAATAGGGCACGAATGGTTTAATATCAATTTCATTTCTTTAGGATAAACAGGTTGTGTGATGTGCGCACCAGATTTTTACAATGATTCTGTTAATTATCACTCATAATTTTAATTTATGATAAAAACTCTAACTTTTTTGGGGGGAGTCCATTGCCCCACCTCCAAACTAGAATGGAAAGTCTGCGCTTATGGTGGCCTGAGGTGAAGGGTGACTTCTTTGGTCCAGTGTTCTTTCTGACAATGGTCCTCTTCTATGGGCTCCAACGGAAAGTTCATCAAGCTCTTCACTAACCAATCAAGAAAACTCCTCATGGTTTCAGTTCTTATAACGGATTTGACCCAAAGTTATAAGTAATTCAGAGAATAGGGCACGAATGGTTTAATATCAATTTCATTTCTTTAGAGTAAACTGCTCAATACACTTCAGGCTTGTAACACTGTTTAATGAAACTATAGAAGTATGTAGGATTATGTGAATAGTAGAATTTTATATTTGTGTAATTTTTTGGGCTTCGGGCTACTGATTTGGTTTAATTTAATAATCTGTGGTCCAATAAACGATATAATTACCCATAAAAAAATATTTATAATTAAAATTTATATACATGCTTATATTTGATTATTTATTATTAATTGTAAAAAAAAAACCTCAGCATGTGGATCCACATGCTTGGGTTCAAATCGGTAAACTTAATAAACAACATAATTGACTATATATTCTGACATAAATTATTGCATATTTTTCATTCTTGTTAATTTTTTATTAATTACACTGTTTGGCTGATATGATCTCGAAAAGAAGCCTAATTTTTCTACAAATTGGTTGCTATCTTACAAGAAATTATATGCTGATACCGAAAAAGGTGAAAAAAGATTAAGAAATGTTCAATTACCTTACATTAGGAGAATTTTGATTTTTATAGGGAAAAAAATGTGGTTTTCTTGAAAAAAATGTTTAAATATATCAGACGACGCTTTAAGATAGGTTGATGGTGAGAAGTACATTCTCTCAATTACCGACATTTTATGCATAGTTGCATTTAAAACTTTGCATCAGATATTAGTCTCAATTATGATTATTTCCTTAACTAGTAGGTGTGAAGTTATGAAACTGGTGGGTAGATTTTTTTTTTTTTTTTTTATGATTGATGAATTTGTTTTTTCTGGTCTGTTTCAGTTAAGTATTTAAGAGAAGTCACTCCATACTTCCGAAAAGCCAGCCTAATTTCTGAAGTTGGATGGGAGTTGCAACGTGGATTCCTGTCTTCTTCCCAGCCTGTGCCAAAGTCTCCACATCGACCCCACACAAGGCACCTGCCCCTTCAGTTGTGCTTCCTTACTCGTAATTACCTCTTCCATGATCCAGGTATGTGTTTACAATCATACCCAATTTTGTATTGTTAAATTATTGTGTGATTTGAGGTAATTGAGGAAAAGTAAAAGTTTTATTTTTTGATATAAGAAATTAATAAATTAAATTAAATTTACGTGGGCCCAAGCTATCTGGGACGTTTTCATATACTCTATTGGTTACTTCTCCTTCTCATTGAATATTAAAAGTTTATTTCACCTACTTTATTGAAAATGTCTTTTGGTTTTAGTAATATCTGAATTTTTCTATTAAAACTGGAAATATTTTGTTCTTATTTTGCACAAAAAAGTAGTGTATAGTCAGAAAACAATAACATGAAAAAATGTTTCAATTATTATTATTTGATGGTGTTACGGCCCACTTATTGAGTCAAAGCCTGCCCAATTACTTAATATAATTGCAATTATATAATTTTTTTTCTTGGCTAACAGAATACATTCATAAGAACCATCAGACATGTCTAATATTTTTTGGTCTTGTATCACCAACAATTTTTTTTATTTCTGCTTGTAAGTGATATAAGTAAAGGCCTACAAAAGTATTAATTTGATAATGATGGTGTTGCCGTATACTGTCATTATTTATTCTTCTTAATTTTATCTATGATTATCTACATCTTGATCGTTATTAATCACAAAACATTCATACCCAATATCATGACATTTATAATCATTGTTTGACATGCCAAGAGCTGTTTATTATTTTAATGTTGATGTAAAGTAATTTTTTAATATTAGGGTATGATATCTGAATTTTGATGTATATATATATATATATATATATATATATATATATATATATATATATATATATATATAATATAAATATGCCCTAGAGAAAAGAATTGATAGATTTGAAAGACAAAATCATCCATACGATAACTGGAGCAATCTGGGATCAGAGTACTTACTAACTCATGGAAAATAAAGAACAAATTGAACTGCTTACAGAAACAGGTTTACAATATATCATGGTATGAAGGCAAGGAGGTTATGATGGGCTGGACATGAAGCTCCATCTGGAAGTCTCTACATGACAATGAATGTCTCAATATTATGCAAAAGACCATATGGAAGACCAACAAGCAGATGAATCGATTAAATCAACAAAGATTTAATAGAGCTGCATGCAGATAACAGAAAAGAAATAGTCCAAGATAGGCAGAGATGGAGTAGGCTTGTTAAAAGTACTATTTAGCTGGTACTGCCTATGTTAGCGACTGCTGATGGTTGAGCACTGCTTTAGTGGAATAGAAAGGAACCAATTTCGTAGACACTGCTCGGCAGTCTAGGTATGACGTCATATCTAGACTGCTCCTTTGTGACTGCTTCTGAAGGATTGAAGTTGGTTTACTGGTTGAGAGGCAGAGTGAGAGGCGTTGGGATCTCCTAGAGTCCACTGGTGAGGGGAAAAGCTTGGCTCAGAGTTTTCCCGAGTGAATGAGTTCCGTAAATATTACATAAAAGTATGCTCGTGTTTAAGTTGTTATTTTGATTAGTTCAGTTATTTTTGTTTATACACATTTACTTTTAGTATTATCATTTTTCTGTTTTATTTATTGTAAATAGAGTGTGAATGTGCTCTCTGAACACTATTATTATTATTAAATGTCCCTAATTGTGATAAATTGTAATATTTCTCGATAAATGAATTAAAAAAAAAAGTTTAATAACTTCGTGACAAAAACAATATGATCCAAAACTATTCAGATTTTAATTCCTTTTTCTGGTGCACAACAAATTTTGTTAGAAAATGGGTATAATTTATTTTGATCTGGAGCTCCTCAATTACATGTTTTAGGGTGAGCCCCGAGCTAAAAAAGTAATTAAAAAAAATCAGTTTTCATTGTCATCCATGTGTCGAAACTCATGATGCTAATGACCCATTATTGATACAACTTTGTAGTTGTACATTCATGTTGAATTTTTAGAAAACAATTATAAATTAGAAACTATAATATATTGTATAATAATAACTTGAATAAATGACTGAATTTAGGAGTTTGGGGATTGAGATAACCATCATAAATTTGGTGGTTATAGCTTGACTCTGTACGTAGATAACTATATTAAAAGTTATCTTTTTAAAAGGAATTAAGATTTTTTTTCTTGCTTTCTTTCTTTTAAGAAATGTATTTTTTTTTTCTATTCAGAATCGAGGAGTTTTGAGCTGCACTCTCCTGACTGTGTACATAGCTGCATCCTACGTGCTGGAGATGCTACAGAATGTGCAGCTTGGTACAATTCCCTTCACTCCACACTAGCACTTTTAACGCAAGCTGCACTTAGGCAGGCCAATTCTCTTTTAATATCTCTTACTGGAGAAATAAATTATATTGGATGGCTTTCTAGACTACCTCTTCTTCAAGTAATAATTATTCTGAAATAAAAATATATACAACCTATGTCATATGATAAGTATCATGAGCTCATAAATAACTTTATTTGAAATATCTGGTTGTATTCCATGGCTTTATACTATATTATTTTTCTAATTTGCTGATTTTTTTTTTTTTTTTATTATTCTCTCCTCATAAAAGTCTAAATGAAATTACTGAAATGTATTTTTGAAGGAAGCTAGTCGACTGTTCTACATATCATGGGTGATAAATAGTCAGGACGCAGTCATTATAAAATTTTTTTTATTTGTGCCAACATATTCAACATTCAACGTGAGTACTTTAAAGCCTTCAGTGCTCGAACCACGCCCTGATGGTGATTCACATTTTTTAGTTGAAATGTTGACACAAATAAAAAAAATTGTATAATGACTGCGTTCTGACTATTTATCACCCATGAAATGTATTTTTATATTGCATTGCTAGTTTTAAACAATTGATTTTTCAAAAAATAATAACCGGTGGTATAGACCCTGTTTTATCAAATTATTACCATCTGCATAAAACTTCGTAAATGGCTTCATCTTATAGTAAACTACAAATTTTTATCTGCAAGAATTCTCAGAAAGGTTTTTCTCATTAAATTATTTAATTTAATTATGTACTCAAAACTCATAAGTACCCATTTGTTTTCTGCTTTTATTGTTAGATAATTTGATCACAAAATTAAAAAAAAAGAAAAAAAGGTGCCCTACAAAAATATAAGGCCGTTTGGCCTATATAACCTCATTATTTTGACATGTTTGGGATGATGGTCATGCCAAACGGCTCAATATTTTTGTAGGTCACCTTTATTCTCAATGTTATGATCAAATTATGTAAAGATTCAAATCAAAAGAAAGTGGGTGCTCATGAGTTTTTAGTACCTAATTAATTAGAATAAGTTCGCCGATCACCATATTGAAATGCCCCAATTCTGAGAATTTTTAAAATAAAAATGTAGGTTATGAGATGAAGCTATTCATGAAGTTTCAGGCGAATGTTAGTAATTTGATAAAACGGGATCTTTACCATAGGCTATGATCAAAGCTATTAAATTGAGTATTAGTTGTCATAGCAGGTACTTAATTTCTATACTGATCAACAATTTACTGATTAATGTCTGGTTTTTGTATTTGGTTAGTGACACCCCCAAAGCTGTGATTTCATATGATACAACCAGATACTTTTAGTAGCTGACATTTATATAGAGCTATCTTTGATTAGTTATAATAGTGTTAAAATTTATTGGTAAAACACAAGTTTTCAGATTCAGAGTACGCTATGGCACAATTTTTATCATTATGTATGAGGTTAGGTTAAAATATATCAAACCTCATACATAATGATAAAAATTGTGCCATTGATTTGATATATATATAAAGTATGTATTATTATTGATTTTGGCTGTTTGATGATTTTTGATTTTTAATGATTTTTCAAGTCAATTGATTTATTTTATCAAAGTGCCTTGTGAAAAATAGCAGCCCAAAATATTTCGATTTTCAAAAAGAATTTTCACTTTAAACTTAATAAAATTACAAATTATTGATTTTATTTTATTGTCCTTTATTATTATATGTTTTATTAGATAATTCTTTTACTCCCATACACAGGATGGTGGAGACCAAATTTCCACATTTGAAATGGATGCTATACCTTTAATTTTTGAGTTATCGGGATGAAATACACCCACATCACAATTTTAGGTAATGAACGGAAGTTTTATTTTAATACAAAAAAATTAGTTATGGAAAAGAATGTCCATAAAATCTGTACTTCCACGGTGACGCATTCCTTTGGGCGTTCATTAATGTTTCTCATCACATCCTCTAACAAGAAGAGAATAAAGATTCATAAAGTCTGATTACCCTACTGTTGACAAACCATACCACATTGTAACTTGTTGGCTGCTTGTGCAATTCTCTAGGGTTGTCTATTGCCCAATATTGGCAATTTAGCTTAGTCACATAGTCATCCAAATGAAAATATGTTTCGTCCAGTGTGATGATCAGTACAAATTTGTCCTGAAGAATATCCAACATGCTTCCATTCAATTGCAGACGTTGAACATGGTATGTTGGAAGGACCTCCTGGATGACAATTATTTTATGGGTATGTAGTTTTAAATATTTTTTCATAATGGCTTGAAGGCTCCGACACAAAATACCATGTGCTTAAACGTGGTGTTTCGTTGAACATTGTGGGTTTTCCTCAGATACTCAGCCACAATCCTAATTCTCCGGTATCACTAAAGTTGGAACACTTATTGATCCTTTGGGACAACAATATTGTGTTGTTTGAAAAATTCACTTAGAAACCAAGTAGTTATTTTGGAGAGTTGCATGTTGAGAGAAGTTGTAATGTGTCCGGTACAAAACGCTCATTATTATAAAAAAAATGCAAGCACTCCAACGAGTCATAGTAACTAAACTTCCCAACATAGACTACAGAATGATTGGAAGAATGAGCTTCCCCCACCTACCCATTGCAAACCAGGACTTTTATAAATGTGGTGCTTTGGTCTCTGCCACCCTGTATTATGAAAAAATAGAAATTAGTTAAATTTTTTTAAATATAATTTATGAATTTATTGTGCAGAATGGGGAGTGCGAGAGGAGTGATGATGAAAGAAGTGAAAAATGGAGTGCTGTTTTTGGAGCAGTGACACAACGTGAATTAAGAATATACGAAGCGGCTCCATGGTCTCCAGAAGCCTGGGCATCCCCATTTCTTGTCTGTCCTCTCTTATCAACTAGGTAATGTCACAAGTCCTTGTTTGACCAGATTATTATTTGTCTTATGGACTAATATTTTCAAGTGTTGATCAAGTTCAAATTTAACAATTTAAATATTCTGAAGATAACTTTGCATTCTTTACGCAAATGATTTAACTTTGTTGGAATTTCGGCTAAATATGTTATTTGAACCAAATAATTTTTATTTAGATGGATGTAATATTCATTATTGACCACCACATCGTCCTATTCCTCCAGACTTTACTCTCTTTTACTACTCTGAATATTCTCCTTAGCTCCTGTCTCTTGAATGTCAATATCCCGTTTTCATATGTCTTGATGGTTTTCTATTCTCCTGGCTCATAATCAAGCACTGGGCATAACAGGATGTTATAGAGGTGGTTTTATGTCCTGGAGGAAAGATTCATGTTCTTTAAATACTTACTCAGGCCATGGAAGTATCTATTGGTAGCATTGGTCCATCTGCTGACATCTTGTGGTTTTTCATTTTGAGAGTTCACCTCAGATCCTAGTTACATAAAATCTACAATCTCTGAAACTTATAAGGACAGGAATGCAGTATGTCCTTCACCACCAGCTTGTATATTTTAGTTTTTTGTGAATCAACTGTGAGACCTCGCCTTTTCTGGATTTTGGTTTGCTGATAGCTCTAATACCTTATTGAAGAGTAGGCAAGTGTAACTTCTTATCTTACTCCACTACTGGTTCCAAATGCTTTGGAAAGATTTTATAAGCACACAAGAGCAACAAAATTCTCCTAAAATTAGCACTTTTTTTTTTTTGGTCTCCTTTCTTGTGCAGAAGACATATTATACCATGGTCCCAATCCTACAGCATCCTTTCTTCGATCCAGATATTGAGTATGAGCTCGTACAACACTTTTCCCGGCTCCTCACCTTCGAACTTCAGTCATTCAGTCTGAATGCCATCTATGCTAGGAGCCTTTTCTTATATTTGAATTTAAAAACAGCATCTTAACCTTCATCTCGGTCAGATGGTTCAATATCATGACATCTGTGTGGTTTGATAGAAGTGCAAGTCTGCTGATCCTGTTCTTTGGTGAGCAGTTGCTTAAAATGTCTCATCCACCTTTGCAGGACTTGATCCTTCTGAATGAGGAATGTTCCATCCTCTTCCCTACAAGAGGTAACTTTTGATGAAAATGTTTGAAAAATGAAAACATTCCTAAGAATTGTTTTGATTCATTGGCTTTTTTAAAGTTTTCAATCTTCTTAAACTTTTGATCTCTCCAGCCTCTCTTTTTTTTCTCTATGGAATAGCTTCTCCTTTCTTTTCTCGCCATGTACCTGTGCTGATGGTCTTGTGTGTTGCTAGAATATTTTTATATATGCCTCATTCATTCTTTCTACCTGTTACCTGGAGACATAGGTGATTGAGTTGGCTTCACTTTAAAACCCAAGGTTCTCTCAGCTGCTATGTTAAGTGATTTAAAACACTTTTTCATTTCTCTTCAATGCTGTCTGTAGATGTTTTCATCCTTTTAATAAATAAACCATTCTTTGAGGCAGTGCTGATTCACCGTGTATATTTTGGCTCCTTTAGATTTTCAATAATATATCTTCACATTGAGTAGATTTTAGAAGATCTTGTAATGGATATCCTTCTCTAATTTTTACTGTGCTCAGTAATGATCCATGTCCATGATTGCCTCTCCATTTGACCTGGCATTCATCAGAATGGATGTATAGAAAGAGATGATTAAGAGGTGATCTATTTGATTGTCCACAAGGCTAAACATCACAAGCTAGGTGATTTTTAGGTTGCCTTGTGTATCTTCTTTCCTGGTGCTTATGGTAGTTTGTAAATGACAGCAAAACTGTTACTTTCTAGATGTATACTGCAGTTTCGCAGGCATATATGCAATACTTTTGTGTTAATGTCTCTCAACAAAAATTTTGATATCATGCACATATGCATTTTGATATCATAGGGCATGCGTTCGTGGATTCTTCCTAGATCTTAATAAAATTGGTCTTTTTCTTGCTCTTCAGTCATTTCTATTGGTTTGTGGCAATTAATAATGGTAAACTTACTGAGCTTACCCTTAATTCAAAACATGCATATTTGGGGTGTAACTGGATCAAAATCGAAAAGTTTTCACAAAAAGTTGTGTAAGTGTCTCGTCACAACAAAACCAACTCCAATACTGTGGAGGATGTCATGGCAGCTATAGTACAGACTGTGAAATTTCTTTTTGAGAGTGCTTATACCTATATCAGCTGACTTTCTGAAATGCTACTGTGTCTGTTTTATACTTGTCGAGTCTTATATGGAGTGTTGTAAGCGCTCCTTGTGTGTAGAAGAATAAAATATTTCAATAGGCTAATTTTAGGTCAATGTGCAGGTTCCTTAGTTGTTTCCTGTTGAAAGTCTTGCTTAGGGATGGTCATCGATAATCAATATTATCGAAATATTGATATTTTCCTTCCAATATTTGATATTCAAATTAAAAAATTTAAATTAAAACTATCGCTTTCGGAAAGCACTAGGAATTATATATATATGATCATAAGAAAAACAATCATACGTATCTTGCATGTTTTATACAGAATGTAGTGTATATCAGAGGAAAATATCTATATGTCGATAATATTGACCGATAATTCAAGTCCAATATTTTGATGGTATCGATAGTTGTAGGTGGATATTAATATTGATGACAATATCGATATTGGACCTTCGATATCCCATCCATAGTCTGGCTTATGTTAGTTGAGATTTTGTGATTATTATCTTTTAAGAAGAGCAGGTAATCAGGCTATTGCTCCTGATTCTGGTAGAGGGGCTATCTCTGACTTACCTCCTCCATCTGATGTGGCTCAAACCCATTTTATAAGATTATTAATATCCCTCTACAACTTTTTAAGTGGTTTCATCTTATTGTAACCTACAACTTTTTATCTACAAAATTTTTCAAAAATGGGGCATTTTCTCATTAAAGTAATTTATTTCATGAATTACTAAAAACTCATGAATACCCATTTGCTTTCCTAAACATCTGGTGCAGTGCGTGCATCATACAACTTTTACTTACCAATCTTAGAGTAGACAGATATTTTTTAATAGGAAGTCTAAGTGAAAACGAAGATGTAATTTCATTTAAAACAATTAATTACCATGTTTTTCCCTCCTTAAAATAAGTTAAATTTATACATTTTCATGACTTTCCATCTCCTTTTATGACTGTGTATAGTATCAAACAATACTAATGATTGTGTGGCAAATGGATCTTTTGGAAAAATTCCGAGTTTTACTGGAAACTCATCGTAAAAATGAACTTAACATTAGTAAATATTGCATATTATTAGATTTATATTAGTAAATCCTCAACATTGCATAAAAACCTTTTTAAAAAAATATGGATAAGTGATACATAAGAGTTAAACTAACAATATTAAAAACCTGTACCAGGTATCTATAAAGGGAGATGATTGGTAAAGATCGGGTGCTCTCAGCTTAACAGCCAAGCTTCCTACATACTATATAGCTTCATACCCTTATTTCCCCTTTATTTAGTTACCTATGAATTATCTTCATTCACTATATTTAACCAATTTTTATAGCAGGTTCCAAGGTGAAATGGTTAATTATTTTAAATAAAAAAAATTAAAGGTACTTTAGAGGAAAGTATTTTGAAAAAAATTGGCATTTAAGTCCTGTCAAGTTTCATTGATGAAAATAAAACCTACCTTAAAAAAAACACTTAATAATACACTGACTTAGTGAGTTTAATCAAAATCGTTAGAGCCGTTTTTGAAAATGTGTATTGTACAAATGTGTTAAACTGATGATATAAAGTACCACCTCCGGTTTGTCGATTTCGATGAAAAAGTTGCTATAACATCCCAGGCATTTAGAAAACTTAAATATGTAATATCAGTTTCGTACGACTTTTCATTTTGAAGCTACGTATGCTGTTCACACACACAGACTATTTTGTGGGACTTGGTTATTTGTATTTAGGGGATCTCAAAACATGTTTTCTGTTCAAAACTCAGATTCGAAAATTTTCATGATTTCAATAATTACCCTTATTATATATTACATATATAGGTGAGTGAAAGTAAAAAATTGGAATTTAAACAGCAATTTTTACTTAACTAGCTAATAGTCGAGCCGGACTTTGTTAATGAACATGCCACTTTTGAAAAGATTCGTTAGCATGGAACCGAAGTGGCGACTATACTCAACAGTTCTTTGCAATGATGTACCAATTAGGGTAGTTGTCCTGACCAGACCAAACCACCACTTAATAGGAGCTGTTAGGCATATATAACCTTGTTATTTTGACATGCTGCGGGTGGAGGTCATGTCAAATGGCCTAATATTTTTGGATGCCATCCTTTTTCTTGATTTTTGGATCAAAGTATATAAAGATTCAGGTCGAAAGCAAATGACTGTTCATGATTGTGTCTCATTTAACAGAATGCCCCTTTTTCGAACATTGATGTAAATAAAAATGTTGGTAGGTTATGATAAATGAAGCCTCTCAAGAAGTTTTAGTCAAATGTTAATCATTTGATAAAAAAATGTTTGTACCGTGGACTATTAGTCCTTTTGCCAGCATAAGTGAATCGTGTACTGTTCCGTGTGTATTCGTGCAGTGTACTAGACTCATGAAACCGGAGGATCATTAATCTCAGCTAATTGTACACTTCAGCTAACCCGTGTGGGATAGTTCAATTATATTAATACATTTTCAATGGCTAATCATTGAAGATGCACCAGGCTTGAACTATTTAATATTTGATATTAATGCAGAAATTCCAATCTACATTCTCTTGTATCATTGTCTTAGACTAGCTATATTTCAAACATGAAGATTGCTTGTAACATCCTCCATACATTTCACTGTGGTAGATTTAACATTTGTTCGTTTTCCTTTTATTTATTTTGCATATTGTGTTTTCAGGCTAGTAGGTTGCAGTAGGCAAGACAGCGGGGCAATCACTCTTTCTGTGAGATGTGGGACTCATGAAGGGGTCACCACCCACACACTGAGAGCAGAGACCCATAGGGATCGTGCGGCTTGGGCTCATGCCATTGTACGAGGATGCCATAATGCAGTTATACACCAAGTTGAAATATCATTCAGTTAGTAACAGTAACTCATAATTCTTTAAGTTAGCTTCCTCAATTAAAAGTTGTATTATTGAGAAGAAACAATACTTGTATATTATTCCAGCACCACTAATGGACTTAAATCTTATTGTCTTAGGATGCTTGTACAAAGGAGAGCCGTGTCAGTTGATTCTACATTATGAGTCTGGATTAAGATTAGTGCAAAGTCAGGGCACAACAATATGGCAGTTTCCTTTCCACAGGCTTCGCTCTTCCGGAGATGATGGGCATCATCTTCTTTGGCTAGATTTTGGGGCTGAACAACCAGATATTGTATGAAAACATTTTATTCTGGCTTTTACTTTACTTTGTTCATGGTAGTTTCAATTCTGTTTTTATACTTAACAAGTATAAAAACAGTCGTTACCAAGTAAATATAAGTAAACACATTTGATAAGTCTAAGATGAGATCTTTAGATTCAGAGGGTACATTATAGTATATTATCGGATAGTCAAGCGGGCCCTGAATAGATATGCAAGTCGCTGAAGGCTGGCGGATGAATGCAAAAGCAATCTTAACTTTCTTTGCAGTACTAACAAGGTGAGAGTAGAATGGGTACCTGGGCACTCAGACATTCCAGGAAATGAGAAAGCCAATTATCTTGCCAGGAATGTAGGAGAAGAATAATGCATTCAATATTAAGATTTCATATTTTTTATGATATGGTCCAACTTCCGAACAAAATAAAGGAAATAACAATGATTTTTTCGATAGTGATATATGAATTTCTGAACAGAAATACCGTTAGGTGGGTGACAGGACTGTACACCGGTCACTGTCAATTAAATAAGCACCTTTTCAATTTGGGTGTAAATGAGACCTCCACCTGCAGGCTATGTGGCCTAGAGGATGAAACGGCCTATCACATTATTTGTAGATGTGATAATTTGGCTAAACTGCGATACTTTCACTTTGGATGAGATCGTATCACTGACCCTAAGCACTGTGAAATGATTGATCCTATCTACTATACCTACTATACCTAAGTATCAATAGGTTCACAATGGCATCTGGCTTGTTTTACCTGAGTTTAGGACGATGCACAATAGGCCTTTTAGAGGCCGCGGTGCACCCCTTATGTCGGTGCAAAAAAAAAAATTATATTATCATTTATTATTAATGATATTTATACCTTGACATTCCCGATGTATTTTGGTGAAGACTGAAAAGGAGTTGGATGAGGGACTTCCTGATTTGACAAGAAGTTATTTTGCTGAATGCTAGGAGTATGTATCGCTGGGTGCTCCCTCACTCATACCCATGCCAAGTATGAAGTGTGATAACTCATTTGGTGATTGTAATACTTTTACAGGTGCAAATAAAATATTTGAGATAAAATATATATACACCTTAATGAGTTATTCGTAACATCTGTTGTTAATGGATATAATTAGAAGATACAGTTATAAGAACCTAATTAGTCTCCATTGACTTATGCTATAATTTTTTTCTTGAAAACAACTCTAACAATTTTGATTAAACCAAATATATAAAATCAAAATATATAAAATATCAAAATGGTTTTTAATATCAGGTAGGTATCATGTTCATTAAAATAGTTTGGCTGGATTTAAAGGTGCATTTTCAAAATTTCTTCCTCTAAAGTACGTTTAATTTTCGTTATTTAAAAAAAAATTGTCATTAGATAATATTAGACTGTTTTATATTCTTTGAAGATCAGGATTTTTACCAATGACAGTCTCTCTATATTTTATGTTATATCTTATACCCAGAGAAACTTTCGGTATATCTGCACCTTACTCATTTCTTATTCATATCGAAAATTATATAAAAGGACTGTAGTCTTGTCCTAGGAAATGCAATTCATAAATACCCATTGAGATTCATTTCTGTTTAGTATACCAAAGAAACTCTACTCGAGAATTGTAGAAGCTAGAATAAGAAATATTTTCGATTACCAGAGCGATATGGATTGAGAAACTGAAGTTGCACATTGGGAAATAAGTTGCAAATGCTGACTGTCTTCACTTTAAGCCAGGTTATAGAGAAGTCCATCAAGAAAGAAAAATAGCTCTCCATCTGCTTAGTGCCTCACACTTTGGATTGTGCTAATATCTGCTAGTCTTTCAGAAAAGCTCGTTTTCCTTTCAGATTCCTTAAAAAAATCTTCGGCAAATGCACTAAACAGAAGGACAGCTATTTCCCTTTCTCAATAGGCCTCTCTATAACAATCTTCAAAGTGAAGATAGTCCCAATGTGCAACTTCAGTAGTAATCGAAAATAAAGTGGTTTTCACCATAATAAACCTCGTTTACTTACTCCAGACCTGCTGACTTGCCACTTGTTTCGAACAAATCTTTCTTGTTGATAAAATAGTCTTCACCATAATACATCTGCATCGTCCCCTCAGAATCATCCAAACTGCCCCAGCATTTGACTCCCTTTTAGCTGCATCTTGAAATATTCTGTTCATCTGTCTACTATATATTCGTTTAGAAATATAATGGATACTGACCCTTATTTTCTTTTCTGAGATTTTGGCACTTCCTTTGTCGTTCGCTTAATGTATTTTTCCAATGTTTGGGTTGAATTTCGCGTTTTCCCTCATTTTGAGACCAAATACTAACAATCAGTTCCAGTTACCTTGAAGACCTTATAGCTTCGCCGTTTCCATCTTTCTTTGTGCAGAGAGAATAATGCATTCAATATTAAGATTTCATATTGTTTATGATATGGTCCAACTTCCGAACAAAATAAAGGAAATAAAAAAAAAAATTTCGATAGTGATTTATGAATTTTACTAAACAACTCTTCAACTATTCATTATATGTAGTTCAGATTAGGTATATATTATTTAAGTTTATAAAACAGGTATTGATATGACTCATTTCTGGGAAAGTATATACAATTTAAATTACCTCTAAGAATCAGTAAATATATAAAACAAAGTGTTAAATTGCAAACGTTAAATAAAAAATTCAAGATATTCAGCTAAGTATTTTTGAATTAAGTTTTATTATTATAATTATATAATTTTTATAGTAGAGGCCTTCTTAAACGGCCTCCATATAGAATAAAGGAAGTTAAATTTAAAAAAAAAATAATTTAAATTTTTTTTGACAATCAAATTATTGTATTAATATTTGTTCATTAATACAATCAATACAATGTTCCAAAAACGTTATTATAGCACTATAACTAAGCCATTTATGAGTACTGAATGGTGCGGTAGAGGCCTGAAGGCACCTACACTTTTCTGCCGCTCAAGTGCATTTTATAGGGAACTGTTTCAAATATTTTAAAAAGTAATCAGTGTTTCAGAAAGAAGAATATATTCTCCATATGTTTTATTTCAGCACGTTTTGCGTGATTGTTGGCCGTTTAAATACAAACGACGCTTGATTTTCAACTTGAAAATTTTTTTGTTAAAAAAATTAACTTTACTGGTGTTTTTTGTTGCCTAAGGCAATTAGTTTTTAATATTTTTTCATGTTTTATTATTCTCTGACTATCCAGCTTTAATAAAACAACAACTATGACAAAATTAAGCCAAATTCTGATTCTCATTAACCAAAAAACTAACTAAAGTCAAAGTTGTCAATCCACCATGTTTGGACGCCATTTTGGGGAAGTTCGTTCACTTTTTTTTTGTGGGAGCATCGGCTTTTTTTTAATAAATAGTTACAAGGAACACAACAATATGCAATTTATAGGGATGTGCAGAGGGGGGGGGGGGGAGGGAGTTGCATGATAGGGGGGTCTAGCCCACCGTGTAAAAGGTTGAAAAAGGGATGTATAAAAAAAAATGTTCAATTTTGATTCTTTTTTTTTTTTTTTTAAATTTTGTAGAAAATTTAGAAACCTTTCAAATTATCATGTGTATATTCAACATTAAATTTGTTTACCCTTATTTGTTTATGCAAACATTTATTTTTCTTTTCTTTCATAACTTTCCTATTTTTTCTGGAAGTTGTGCTTATCTTTCTCTGGCGGAGAAAGAAATCTTTAAAATGATATGATGGCTCAGTTATTGGATTTGATGAAGTATTAAGGATTTGTAAGATGTGGTGTGATATGAAAAATTTGTGTTATATTTTGTAGAAAATACAATCACTTTAATATTTCTCATACTATTAAATATTGTTGTACATTAAATAAATAGGAAAGCAATCGTTATATCTTGAATGTTATTTAACATTGAATTTACACTTAATTGAAAACAAGAAAAATAAAAGTTTGAGTGTTATATTTATGCTACTAAAATATGTCTGCTGGTCATAATAACCTATTTTTAATTCTTCCTGGTATAAAATTTTATTTATGTTAATACAATGGTTTTAACAATGTATTTCATGTTGAACCAAATTATAATACAGTAATATTTATTTCAGGAACTGGACTTGGAGTGCTGTCCAAAACCACTTGTTTTCATTTTACACAACTTCTTATCAGCTAAGGTTAACCGTCTAGGTCTCTTTGCTTGATTCTCTTTACATTCTATTTTTATATTTTGTATATTAAATTTTTTTTTTTTCACTCTCAATTAATATAATTTATTTTGTAATTATCTACCAGTCTTCCTTGAGTAAACTCAGTTATACTGTATTTATTTATGTTTTAGCATAATCTTCATTCAGAGTTTAATGCACTTTAAAAAGTCTTCCACAACCAAATCATCTAATTTTTTGTTTCCTCAACATACTTCTGTTAATGTTCTAATTTTTAATTAATTGTTTGATGAATTCTTATTATTGAATTGCTAGTTTTTTTTCTCTACAAAATATTTTAAATATGCCTCTTCAAGTGGTAACCAACTTTCTAGAATCATTATAAATTATAATGATTCAATTCCGATGTCTCATATAATGGCAATCGTGAATTCCACGAGAAAATAAAAATATCAAAATTTGACAATCTAATGTAATTAATTTGACTAAAAAGTATAGTTGCATTTAAGAAGTGTAGTTGTATGCGTGAAATAATGAGACAGTTACTTAGAAGCACTGTTAATCTATATCTAGCAAAGAATGATGTTCATAGAATGGCTTAAGGTTATCAGTATTAAAAGGATTATTAAGGGTGATATGGTGGCAGAATATAATGTGATATATTCTGCCAAAAATACATTTATTACAGCTTGCATATAATTTATTTGTAATTGACCAGAACATGATGTGAAATGTATCACAAGCATATATGCAGTGATCTGAGAAATCCTAGCGAATTTAGAGCTATTTTTCAAATAATTTCAACCAAGGCCTATTTTTTTTACATTATTTGGTACTTTATTTTATATTGAGGGGAGGAAAAAAATGGGTAAATATGAGGTGGTTATGATTAAACTATATTTTTACTGAATCATATTTTTGTTAAAAAATTAAACAAGCTTCAAAAAATAATTTAATTTACGAATTTAACATTTGTCTTTAACACCAGTTATCTGTTTAGGATTATTAAACTACTCCAACAACAAGTTTTAAGCGTACAAATAGGTTGTATGCTATTCTTTATTGTTCTAATTTATTGCATTTGTAGTTATCAAATGTTTTCCATTACTTACATTCTATCTCTGTTGTAATCAATTTTGTCATTGTAAGAATTCCTTTTCACTTGCCAATATGTTTTCGTCATTAAAGATACTTTCATAACGTGTATAGAGCGTGTGTTAAAAATAATTTGAACACCTAATGGCTTTGGGAGATCACCTAAATTAACAGGCCTAAATATGAAAACTATGTTTCGTGATATTTCTCTAACATGGCTACGAATGGAAAGCTTTGTGTTTAGTTAAGAATATCTAATAATTAAACTAGTAGTATAGGAATAATGTAAAAATAGATTTCTCAGATCACTGGAATGTTGCTACTTTGGTTTGACAAGGTTGGAAATAACATTTTTGGCTTTAATAAGATTATTGCTGCTCATTTAGTTACATCTTTGTCAATTTAATTTTTATTCATTTGTTTTTCATGACAAATATTTTATTATAGTTTAATTTTCATGTTAATGTTAGATATATAGTCAGCTTATTGCAAAAATTCATTAAGTTATATTTGATAAAATTGAATCACTATGATGAATTTTCTTACTGTGAAATCAGAATAATGATCACTTAGTGTTTAGTTTAGTTAACTACATTTGATAGATAGAAAGGTTTGTGCCATTTTGATGCACTTAGTTCGTTTTTGTATTGATAAATAAATTGAAAATTCTCAAAAACATTTAAAAGTTCAGTTCCATGAAAAATGTACCTTATGACTTTTTGCAAAAAGTGATGGTATTTTTTTGGTTAAGTACTTTAGTACTAAATCATCTTTGAAAATTAAACTACTACCATGCAAAGAAATGACAAAATTTATAAATTATATTAATTGCAACAAATTGTTAGTACATCAAAATTTTAAATTTGTTTTCATTAAAATTAAGATTAAAGCAGTTAAAACCTTTTCAAACCAAGCTAGTAATGTGCTGGAGAGTTAAAATTACTGTAAACTTTATGTTTATAACTGAGTTTATCTTGAAAAAAGAGATATTTGAACATGGTCCCAGAACATTGAAAATATCATAATTTTCATGTTGAAATTTGTATATCATTCACTAACTTATATATTTTTTTATATTAATATGTAGTATACCAAAAACCCCAAATTTCAGGATATTTTTTATATTTGAATTATCCTATTTTAAATTGTATAATTGCCTATTTGTTACATCCTTGATTTATGTTATTTATGTTTCATATCTTACAAAGTACCATGCTAATATTAAAATAACAGCAATTTAAATTAGTATGTTTTGCCAGTGTTTAAAGGCAGCCACTGACTATCCCTCCTATAGGACAAGGGTATGATTTTACAAAATTTCAATTTATAGATTCATATCACTTTCGAGAATTTATATGTTATATATAGTGCATCCACTATAGTAAGAATATGAAATCATTTTATCTTTTGTAAAAAAAAAAAAAAAAAAAAAAAAAAATTAAAAACAATATTTTTGATCACATTTTATGCTATCAATATTGTAAATTTTAACTTTGCACAGTATATTTACTCACCATAAATTTTTATTATTAATAGAACTGCCTAATAACTGTGTCATAAAGTGCACAGTACATTGTTCCACACTTATCATTTTATTATACTCATGTTAAATTGCAATTGTTGGATTTTATCACGGTGTGATGAAGTTTAAGATAGATGAAATTCTAGCTGTGTCTGCGTTACTCAAAAAAATTCCCACAGGATGTGACACTCATGGTTGTTCCTCATTTCATTTGGCCTGGAGCGGTTGAACGGAGTGATTGTCAGTTTGCTGTCAGCCTTTAACACTTCTATGTCTCTCACAACTTTCTTTTTATATTAACAAACAGTTTCTTAAGTTCATACAGATACATTAATCAAGCACAAAGAAAACAAGGCAAAATTGAGAAATTTTGACTGTTTAATATTATTGGTAGATATGTTCAATAAATTGGTCCTTTTGAAGATATTCTTCTTCCTTTTCCTTTATGTATGTATATGTTAGTTCAACATTGTCTGTAAATACTAACAGAAGCATTTAGGAAAAGGTATTTTAAGGCTCAAAAGTGAATTTCTGAAGGCTGAGAATCCATAAAAAAAAAAAGAAGAAATCCAGCCAGTTTTTAGGCAAAGTTAGCTTTGAAACGTAGTTAATACAATGCATTCTGTATATATTTTAGGTTTAGATCTATGTTTATATTTTATACCTACTCTGTAAGACTTTTAGAGAAATCTGCCATAAATCATTCCATAAGTTTGTCTATTAACATTCCTTACTTGGGTCCTGGTTTTGATAAGTGACATAAGTCAAAGTCAATTGAACATAGTTTAATTACAATTAGTAAAATTGTGTAAATAATTTATATATTAGAAAAGTGATAGCTAAATAAAACTTGATAGGATAGGTTACCGGTGTGTCGTCAATTGAATTTTATTACTGCTTTGACTGTTTATTGTTCGTTGTTTGAAGTTATAATAAATTGTTAAACATTTGTTTGGAATTGTATAGTATATTGGAAAATTCATTCATAGCAATTTAACTAAATTGTTTCTGTATTTTAGAGGCAAAAACTCCAGTAAGTTATTTTATATTGGATTCTAATAATGTTACGGATAAACAAGATTTCTTGACACTTTATGAAATGAGGTTGAGAAGTAATTATATTAAAAGATTCATTGACATAAGTTTTAAATGTCCGTGTGCAATCATCCTTCAAGTTTGTGCTATTCTAGAAGAAACATCGTTTCTTCAATTATGGTTCATTTGTTCACAAATATGCAAAATATTAATATAGTTTATTGCATATAAATGAATCAATATGGAAAAATGTTTATGTAGCTGTTTAATAAAGTTGCGTACTGAGTTTCCTGTTGCATAAGATTCTGATTGTAATAATAATAATAAATAGTTTTAAAGGGGAAAATGGATGCACTAATTAAATTGATGTTTTTTTATTTAATATTCTAAAAGTTGATATTATTTCTTTTAGAGTGGTAACATGAGCATGCTGAATTTTTTTAGACCCTTTTAGAGTTTGATAGTCTGTCATGTAACCTAAATCAATATAACTTATCAGAGAAATTATTGCAATATTTAAATTTTGATTTAATATAATTTCCTCTCCAGATGAATTAACTTTCTATTTAATATTTTCTTAAAAAATATGGATACTTCAGTAAATTCTATTTATATTGTCTTTGCCAAGGCACTGTTAAAAGATATTTCTCATTTTTTTTTTTAATATAGATTGGATTGTATAGCCTAATTGCTTCAATCTTTAACTTCATCGACTTATTGATCATGCAAATTTTCCTATTTATATTTTGTTTGATAGGTTACTTTATCAAGCAATAATTTGTTTTAATATTTTTCGTTGACCCATTAAGTTATCCTATCTACAAAAAAAATGAAGCCAAGTAAATATTTTTCAAACTGGAGTATTTTGCCTTCTATCTGTACGTGCTATTGACTTCGAGCAGTATTCTTGGAGGAGTTGTTGATAATTTTACTTTCATTGTTCTTGTATAAAATTGTAGTCGGCCTGATAACTAGTCCACTCTAGTGAAGCATACTGTTTGTTATTAATTATAAGGACTATAAGTTATATTTTTACAATCTGTTTTACTTTTAAATTCAATATTTTTCCTAACATGATTATACATCATAAAACTATTTTTAAGTTCTGTATTTTATGGTTGATAGAGTTGTATTTATTATATTGTTTCGTATCTTTAAATTAAATGATGTATAATGTTTTATCTGTTAAAGCAATAAAGTTTTTATTACATTTCCATATCAGTCATTTAAATTTTATCCTATTTAACTGGCTCAGGCAAAGTGACTCATTAGCCAAACTCCTCTTTAATATTGCCCTAGAGACCATCATGAGAAGGGCAAGATTAAATAACGGAGGAACAATATTTCACAGAATGACCCAACTGCTCGCATATGCTGATGATGTGATTATTGCAGAGCGATCACTTTAAGCAGTGAAGAGTGCATTCAGTAGGTTGGAGATGAGGCAGGAAAAATGGGGCTATGCATCAACGAAAGTAAAACCAAGGTCCTTGTTTTAAGGAAGAAAAAGCTTGTCCATCCACCATAGCACTATGTCTTGGGAAACCATAATTTTCAAGCTGTATCGATCCATAATTAACAATAGCTATAACGAAGAGGAGGAGATAGGAGCTAGAATAATGTCTGCCAACAGAGCGTACTATTCTCTAGCGAGCTTACTGAAAAGTAGATTGTTAAGTTGTACAACGAAGTTTAGGATATACAAAACAATTATTTGGCCAGCTGCAACATATTTGTGTGAAACATGGACTCTAACAAAGGCATCTGCTGAATGAATAGATCGGTTTGAAAGGAAAATACTAAGACGGATAATAAGACCTAAACTGGAGGAAGGAGTTCTCCACTTGAGAACAAACGAGGATATTTACTAAATGTACTGTGATCTCTCAATTCACTCGAGTGCAGCAAATGAAATGGTTATGACATGTCCTGAGAATGGATGAAGTGACAACAGCGAGAAGACTTTATCATGGGAAGCCAGAGGGAGTTAAGTCTAGGGGTAGACCCCGAAGGCAAGATGAATAGATAACGTAAAAGAAGACTTAAGAAAAATGGCATATCCATTAGGTGCACAGCCAACAGGGATGACTGAGTGAAGGAAATTAAGCAGGCCAAGGACCTGAAGTGTCTGTTGCACCAATAATGAATGAATATGCCCCACACATCTTAACCTCCATCCCCTCATATCATGGGATATTGATTGACCAGTTTCTATAAGCAGTTCTTTATTGGTCTTTCTTGTTCATATATTAGTACTCTGATCCCCAGATTTTTGTAGGCATTTTGACTAAAGGTACAGTCTTAGATAATTAACTTGAGTGAGCAAGGCAATGGGCTGCTATTCTGAAGAGGTCCAAGTTCGAGTCCAGCTGCTGTTGATAATTATTTATTCTGTTTCATCAGCTGTGGATCGATTCTGGAGTCATGAGACCCTCCTGAACCATACCCAGCCTCTATGAACTGGGTACCCTTAACTAATTAATTGATTAAGGAGGAAAAACCTGGCAATCAAGTGTGATATCTGCCTAATCACTTCCCTACACAACAATTGTTCTAGAAATAGTTTTTGTTACAAAGTGCTATTGAATGAACCCAAGATCGTTCATTCCCACCTTTATTATATGAAACACAGGACAAATTATGTAACCAGAGAAAGTTGAGGTGATAGTAAATTTAATAATTTGGAAATAGGCCTGTACTAGACATATTTTAATGATTTATAAATGGCCAACTGACCAATAGTGTCAAAACAAGAGAAAATTTATAATTTTGAATGATGGCAAAGACACTGGGGTGCATGATCTGGAAGATGGATCCACTGCACGATTCCCAACGTTCTGTCTCGGATTACCCATGGTGATATTACTATATTGCTTAATACCTCTCCCAACTGCATACTGGTCTTCAGAGGCTACGTGGG